CCCAGCTACGTGTCGGTTGAGCGGGAAGGAAGCCAGGCACCACAGAGCTGGGGAGCAGGTCCTGGGAAGGGGCGCAGCGACTCCACCCAGGCCGGGGGGAGGGGCGGGAGAGGCGGCAGCGGCTCGGACCGCGGATGCGCGCCCGCGTGGACACGGCATGCGCAGCCTTCCGCTGCCACGCCGGTTCTCTGACGTTGCCATGGTTACCGGGCGGCCTGAAGCGGGGAGGGGCGCTTCCGCGCCTGGCGCTCCGCAGCCCCTCCGCCCGCGGGACGGGCTTTGAGTGGACTCGGCGTGACTCGTACATTCGGGTGTTGCAACGTGGGTGCATGTCCACGGGTGGCCACGTGTTGGGGACAGTCAGGTTCATTTTGCGGTAAATAAAAACGCTGCGGCGTGTGTTAAGGGGTCTGCTGTGGAGCCGCGGAACCCCGAAACCGAGTCAGCAGAGGGTGTGGTATGAGAGCCGGATGGTGGCTGGCTCCCCAAGGGCCGCCCCAGCTCTCCCGGAGCCCTGGGCCCCAACCTTGTCAGGTGTTGGGTCCCATCACCTGGTCTCATCGGAGCCTCACCTCTGGCTTAACCCTGTGACCTTGGGCAGGTTCGAAGGGCTCTCTACGCCCCCATTGCCTTTTATACCTTACATAGTTTTGGTAAAGATTAAATCATTTTGCAGAGTGTTTTAACTCGGTACCTGAAACTAGTAAATGCTCCGTTAATCTAATCTTTATTCCTCCTATCTGGGTCTCTATTTTCCCGGTTGTTGATGGGTTTGGAGTGATCATGTGACATCAGCCTGAGGCATTTGCCCCGTCCTTTGCCTGAGTGTTTCAGGCTACAGTGGCCCTAGTTCCTGTGGTTCCTGGAGGAGGTGAAGGGGATAAATGTGACAGTCTGATGGTGGGTCAGTTACACCAGCTTGCCTAGTGCTCAGCCCGGCCAGACACACATGGGCATGGGTAAATGTCTGCTGTCCTTGGCGATGTTTGAATGTGCTGGAGCGTTCTCCCCACCCCCACCCCACCCCCTGCTGAGCATAGAAGGAAGAGCCAGCAGCAGGTCACTCCCCAGGGGCTGGAGTCCTCCTGTGAGACACGCTTCCCCTCCCCGAGGTGCAGCATTGCAGCTTTCTGCATTGTGCTTGGAAGCTTAGTTGGCACAAGGGACTGGCTTTTGGGTCCCGCTGTTTTATGGGCAGCTCTTCACACATGCCGGTTTTAGGCTCTGGCGGCAGTGCCTGAGGGATGATCTGAGCCAAGGACGGAGCCATTGAGGGCGCGATAATTGAGGGAGGAAAATTAATTGTCCTTAATTTGGCATAAATCCCAAAGACCTTCCCTGTGCTAGGAATTCAGAGTAGACTCCCAGGTGTCTACTTCTTCCCTTCCCCTTGGCCAGCACCTGTGGGTAGAGATGGGGGCCAGCTGACTCCTGGGTCCTAACTCTGGCAGGCCCAGCCCCCTTTTTCTGCGTTGCTCAGGGGGCTGAGCAGATAGGATTGAGGTCTGGGAGGAACTTCACTGGTGCCCTGGTGGACCAGGATGGCTCCAGCAGCCCTGAGTGTCTCCCAGCTGTTGGGGAGAGCAGGGAGGGTGGGAGTGGAATCCTGGGCCTCCAGTCCTGCCTTGGCCTTCCTCTAAGAGCAAATGGCAGCAGGGCCAGAGGTGTTCCCCTGCGTGGTGCATCCCAAGTCCTGCTTCATTTCCATCCTCCCTTTTCTTGCCAGTGTTTAACGTTTTCCTTTTAAAACTCAGAGCTAAAAGTCAGGACGCTGTGGGATCATATTTACAGCGGAGGAGATGCTGGTTCATGTCTGGAATTTTTAGGGCTGCAGGTGGGGAAGTGTTCTGCCAGCTACTGGAAGAAGCTGGGGAGGCAAGGCCATGCTGGGAGTCCTACTGCTCTCCAGCCCAAGACCCTCCTCTCCTGACAGGGCCACAGTTCCTTTGGGATGCTCCAGGTAGAGCACCCTCTGGGAGGTGGCAAGAGAGAGAGAGGAATGTCTTGCCCCTGCCTGTTGGAGCTCTTCCAGCTTCCTCTCCTGCCTGCCCACCAGCTAGCCCCCCTGGGTCTCTGAGAGTCTTAGAGGACCAGTCCGGCCAGCTTTCACTTTCTTCCCTTCTGAGGATGCCACATGCCTTTTTCCTGCACAGGAGTCTGACCTCAGCAAATGTCTACCCCACCTCTTGTGCTGGGCCTGCAGGGGGGAAGGGGAGCAGTGCTAGTCTCTTGGTCTCCCCCACCATGGAGCCCCACTCCCAGGCCAGGACACTGCCACAGGACACTTCCCCCATGGAGTTTGCCTGGCAGCCACACTGTGAAGAGGCTCTGCCGAATTCTCACACTCTTTCTGTGGTTTGCTCCTGGCAGGGAGGTCCTCTTACCAACCTAGGATGGGAAAGGGGGCCCCAGGCCCAAGTCTTGGTACTTATCTCCCCCAGTGGCCCAGCCTTTGCTAGTTATAATAATAATGTCAGCTAATATTCATTGGGTGTAGATTCCTCATCAGACACTCTCCAGCACTTTATGTGCATCATCCAATGTGGTCTTCACAATGGCTTTACAGGTGGGCACTTGAACAGATAAAAATGGATACCTGGAGAGGGTTAGTAACACCCCCAGGTCACAGAGCTAGTTAGTGGTGGAGGTGGGAGCCCTACTTGGTCTGCACTGGTCCAGAGCCTCTGCTCCAGCCCCTGGTGCCTCCAAGGGTAGGAAGTGAGCAGCTTTGCTCCCCAGCCCCTCATGGCTGATGCAGGAGTCCATGTGCAGAGAGTAGGGGTGCACTGCTGAGATCTGCTTCTGCTGCTCCCATGGAAGTGCCTCCATGAGCCACCAACCCCTTGCAATCTGGGAGAGGCACCCAGGGAGGAGTTTGCCTCCCTCATCAAATTTTGGTGTCCTCCAAGGACATTAAAAAAAAACTCTTTTGTCTCCACATACACAGACATGGTCCCTAGGCCTGACTGTAGCCTCCAGGGTCAGGGCTGAGTGAGGGAGGAGGGTCGGGGTTGGGACCAGGGGTCCAGGATGGGTCATTTATAGGACAGGAGGTGCCCAGAGTCCAGGCCAGAACCTAGACTGTGACATGGGGCCCTGGCAAGCAGTGGAGCTGAAGGCTGGATGCAGGCAGTGGAGGGGACGCTGCACATGCAGAGGGGGGAGTGGGGACTGAGCAGCAAGGGGAGCCTTCGGGCTGAGTCATGGCTATTGATGCCACTGCAAGAGCCGTGGACACCACAGCCCTTTCTGCTGTGGCCTGTAGAGCTTCAATCCTCTTTTTCCCAGGGCCAGAGAGATGAGTGCTCATGTCTACAATCTGAGGCACTGCTTCTCAGACCTGAAAACTCCCTGACAGGGCAGGATGGGCCCCCCCCGCAGTCCCCTGGCTCTGCGAAGGGCAGGCCTGGGCAGTGGGGCTCAGGACTCTGGTTCCTTACCTCAAGGTGGGCTCCATGCTTAAAAGTCAGGGAAGAGAAGAGTCTTGAGGGTCCCAGCCATCCTGGGAGTTAGAGGGTGGTCCTGGAGGGCAGGCAGTGCCAGCCCTGACGTGCACACCTGCTCTTTTTCTGCAGAGGAACAGCTGCCCTCCGGGTTCCCCACCATCGACATGGGGCCTCAGCTGAAGGTGGTGGAGAAGGCACGCACAGCCACCATGTTGTGTGCAGCAGGCGGGAATCCAGACCCTGAGATCTCTTGGTTCAAGGACTTCCTCCCTGTGGACCCTGCCACGAGCAATGGCCGCATCAAGCAGCTGCGTTCAGGTGAGCAGAGGGCGAGGGTCAAGGGGCCGTGCAGACTTCAGGAAAGGCATCCATCTAGCCAGAACCAGCACAGCCTTCCCTCTTGGGCCCAGGGGCCTGGGAGCCACGGGAGGCCTCAGCCTGGGCCTGGCCTTCCAGGGCTGAGCAGAGGTTGCCTGGTGGGTGGGCCAGATCTTGCTGTTGGCCCACCCGGCCTGCCGGGGAAGAAAGGTTGGCAGCGAGGGCTGGTCATCAACGATTCTTACACGTTCCTGGCTTTGTCAGACTCCGGACTTCAGTCCACCTCTTCTCCGTGAGGCACGAGTGTCATCCCCAGCCTGGTGTTGGGCTTTGTGAAGGTGCTCTGGGCATGCATCCTCCTCCTTCCCTGGAGCCTGGCCTGAGAGGGGGCCTGGATGATGGTCTCTTTGCTTCTCCAGACAGCAGGGAAAGAGGCCAAAGATGCCTGATTCATCAGGCTTCAAAAGGCTGGACCTCAGAGGCTTGGAGCAGGGGGACGTGCTGCCATCCTTCGGCCACCAGAGCCACCTGTCTCCTCTGGATGTCTCAACCGAGCCAGCTTGGAGCCCTGTGAGCAAGGATGCTGCCGTGAGCGGGCAGGAGGTGTCGCCCCATCGATCGATCTGCCTGCAAGGCTCCCGCCAGGATCATTGATTCAGTTTTTGTGGAAACGTAACAGGCGGGAAAGGAGCCTTGGAATCAGCTTAGCTTCACTTCTGCATCTGCCACCAGCATAGGCTGGACGGATAGACCTTGGTCCAGAAGCCCTCCTGCTAGCTGTGGGATGGTGGGCCCAGGCAGGATGGCCAGCACTGGCCAGAGCCCCAGCTGCCCATCAGCTGTGATGTCAACACCGCAAAGGATGACATGACTCTGCCCCTCTCAGGACCCTGCAGGCAGCAGAGGTGCCCCACCACTCCCTGGGGTGCCAGCCTCTTCTCACCAACTCCCACCAGGTGGGCGTCCCCGTGGTGCCCAAGGGAGGAGGAAGAGATGAGCTGCCCAGCAGGGCGGGATTCTGGCTCCAGCCACGGCCGCCTGAGACAACCCACGAAGTGTTAGCTCATTTAATTTAATTAAAACTCAACAAGATGGAGGCAGCTGTAGCGCAGTTAATTAAAACAGCCATAATCAAGGCAGGAAACAGTCCGCCAGCGTTTGTGGCCGCTGCCCAGCACGGCACAGCGGCCGCCACGGTTCGGCCCCTCTGTGTTTCCCCACAGCCCTCTAGGCACACTCCCCCAGCAGCCAGATGGTCCTCCCTGCAGGCCTGGCCTCCACCCGGAACAGCATGAAGCCAGTGGTAGCAGTTCTGGGAAGGCATGCTGTCTCGAGCGTTCCTTCGTTAAGTGTTTATGTTGTGCCTTCCCTGTGCCGGGCCTGGTGCCACTCATTCACCACCCTGGGAGTCAGCTCCGGCCCAGGGCTCCACTAGGCACTGCTCCACCTTGGCCTCCTCGGCCGACGCCCCTCCCTCCTCTCAGCCACTCTCTGCATGTCTCCCTGGCTTCCCTCTTGCTCCTCTGAGTGCCCTTTCGCTGCCAGGCAGCCTCTTCTGCTCGTTCTTCCAGCCGGGGAGCCTGCAAACCCTGCCCTTGTCCCATGGACAGAGCCCTTCCCCGGGCCAGCCCACCCACTCCTATAGCTTCAAGTACCAGCTCCATGCCTGCAACTCCCAGCTCTATCTCTCTGACCCAAATACCTTGCTGGGGCTCTAGACTAAAATCCCATCTTCCTTCTGGTTGTCACTCTGACGAAGATGTGTGGTAACTTCCTTCCCAAACAGTCGTGCCCTTCTCCCACTGACCCTCTCTCTGTGAGTGGCAGCCCCTCTAACCCGAAATATAGGACACACCCCAAATCCTCCTCTATTTAAGGAACCCCCAAATCCTCTTGATCCTTCATCCACGTGGCTCTCAAGTTGGTCCCCTTATCTCCATCTGCCTCCTTATCCCAGGTCAATAAACACTGCTTTCTCTGCCTCCAGGCTCTCCTGTCTAATCCATCCTGCAGCACTGGCAGCATTTTCTGCCTGTGCGCTCTGTGCTCTGATGACCTCAGTAGCATCTGGCTGCCTCCACGGTCAGGTGCATGCCCCTGAACAAGGCACACAGAACCCTTCTTGCTCTGTCCTAGCTTACATCTCCAGCTCTATCTCATCAGGTCCCAGCTGCATCACTTACTAGCTCTGTGGCCTCACTTAAGTTACTTAACTTTTTTACGCTTCAGTTTTCTGATCTTTAAAAAAGAGTTACTGTGAGGATTAAGCAAGACAATGGCAATGAGAGCTTTAGTTGACTGGTGTATGATGAGGGCTCTGTGAATCGGGCTCTTCGCAGCTCCAGCCACTCTCCAACTTGCACTGAGCCCCTTGACCACATCCTTACCCTCCACTCACAGTCACTAGAATGTGAAGCTCCCCCTTCTCTACCTAAGGCCCACTCCTTCAGGACTCATCCTGCTTTATACTATCACCGTCTGACTCCAGCTCTCCTCACTTAGGCTGGGCACCCTGCAGGAAGGGCCTCGGGCTGGCTCCCCTCTGTGAGGGCCCCCTCAGCACCAGCCCAGCTATAGGACGGGTATCTCTGAGCCCTTGCTGATGCATGATTCCCTGAACCTGACCTTTGGGCCCTGTCCTTGCAGACTAACGTCCATTCCCCCTGCTTCCCAGGTCCAGGGAAGACTTATTTGATCTTTCCTGCCCCATAGGAGCTGTGACCTCAGGGCACTGGACTCAAGGTCTAGCTCCTGGGATAGCACCTGACGGCCCTTAATCATCCCCGCTCTGCAGTAAAGGACAGGGCTCCCTCCGTCACTACCTGACCGTGGCCCCTGACCGTTGACCCCTAAATGGCTTTTTACCATTTAGGAAGGTGCTGGAGCAGTTCCATGCACATTTGACAGGGGCATCCCTGATGGAGAGGACTCGGGCCCCCGAACACTCGGCTTTGCAGGGGCTTCATGGTTTGCGCATCACCAGCAGTTTACAAAGTGCTTTCCTGCCTTTGGTCGCACTTGAGTCTCCTGCAACCCTGAGAAGTGGGACAGGCTGTGATCATCATGCCTTCTTTCCAGCTGAGTTAGGGAGTTACCCAGGGTCACTTGGAGATCTGAGGCCAGGGAGCTCCCCTGGGATGTCACCCAGGGGCCTTCTACTATCATATCCACCAAACCTGGAAGCTTCTAGGGCACCAGAGCACCAGAGCCCGTCCTCTCTGTACCTTAGGCCCTCCCTGACTGGTACCCAGAACTCTCAGGCATCCGTGGGCTGAGCTCCAACAGGTGTCACCACGGCATGGCCCCTGGAACAGGAGCTGGAGAGGAGGGCTGTCTCAGGACCCCTGCTCAACAGACGCTTTATTCCCCAAAGTGATGTGACCTTCTCCCACAACCTGAGCATCTTGGAGGATTTGAACTTGAGACCCAGTGTGGGCCCTGGAGGAGTGGGCACAGCTTGGGGAGAGACGAAATTAGTCAAGAGCACACAGCACCGCCGGAGAAGTGAACGGGGCTGACCTCCCAGTGGGGTTCTTAGCTGCTGCTATTGGCCCCGAGCTCAGCCACCTCCCCCTTGACCGCTCATCCCAGCACCTGAGTGTGCACGCCCCATCACCATGGAGGACCACCGACACAGCTGTCCACATGCTCATCCAGAGACACCTGACTGTGGGAAGTGGCCTGCTGCCCCAGCAGATGGGACTCAGAGGGAAGTGCAGGGTGGGCTCCGTGGTGGGCCTGAGCCTGCAGCCCCCACTCCATCCCACCATCAGCCAGTCTGCCAGGAGGGTGCACTGTCAATGGCAGACCCTTTCGTCTGAGCACTCGGCCAGTGCAGGTTCCAAGGGACCCTGTTGTCTCCTACAGCCATCTCAGGAAATGGAAAAGGCAAGTTCTTCTTGCGATTTAGTGGGGAAACGACTGTTCTGAGAGGCCCAGAGACTCATCACACAGCAGACTAGGTTTCGGAGGGGCTGAGGTCCCAGCTCCGGAGCATCTACTTATTACTGCCACCCCTCCCTTTCCTGGGTCAGGCCTGGACCGTATAGGGTAGATGAGCAGTGTCAACTTTTTGGTCTCAGGACCTCTGAGGACCTCCAAGAGCTTTTGTTTGTGTGGGTTTTATCTATCGATACTTGGCATATTATTAAGACTGAGACAATTTAAATATTTTTAATCCACTTTAAAATAATTTTAAAATTCATTCATGTTAACATAAACAACTTTTTTAATGAAAAATAATTATATTTTGTAAATCAAAAGTGTTTAGTGAGAGGAGTGGCCCTGTTTTACACTTTTACAAATCTCTATAATCTGGAGTTTAATACAGAACAGCTGGATTTTCATATCTGCTTCTGCGTTTGGTCTATTGCAACATCACACATCCTGAAGCCTGTGGAAAACTCCACTGTATGTTCATGAAAGGACAAGAGTGAAAAAGGCAAAAAGTTTCTTACTATTATGAAAATAGTTTTGACCTTGTGGACCTCTGTAAGGGCCTCAGGGGCCCTGAAGGTCAGGTACGGTTCTTGGAGGATCACCATGACGATGATTCTTCCTAGACAGTCTCTGCACGCCTCACACAGCCCAGGCACCAGCAACCACCTTTACCTTCTCTCCAGCTGCTCTTTCTGCAGGAGGCGGCCTGGTCTGGTGGAAGGCTGCGAGCCAAACCTGGTTCGTTCCTGTCACCTCCCTTACAAAGCTGTGTGACCTTGGGCTTTGGGCAGGTCACTTAATGTTCCTCAGCCTGTTTCCTCATTCTTGCTGAGGTGGATAACTTCCCCCGGGTGGATGTTGCCAGGTTCACTGAGACAGTGATCACTGTTTCCCAGCATACATCCCTCCCCCAGAAGGTGAAGGGTGGACAGGGCTGACCTGGTCCTGCCCATGGCCTGTCAGTCCTCTGGATGGGGCAGTGGTAGAAGAGGGGTCCCTGCTGGGAAGGGGCTTGTCCAGACTTTACAGTAGCCCCGCATCAGGCATTTGGAGGGTGAACGTCTGGCCCTCCTGGCTGCTGATTCCCAGGATTACAAGGCATCAAACAGGCGGGGGTTGGCAGGGGGCTCTGGCCTCTGGCTCTCACCAATCAGGTCCGGGGGACTCTGCAGTCACTCAGTTTTTTAGCAAGGTTGAGTGGCGTTACAGGGGGTCTGCCACTGGGTCGGGTCGTGAGTAGGGGGCTGGTGTGTGTGTTTGTGGGGGTGCTGGGCTGGTGATTGCCTGAGGTGAGCCTTCTTCTAGCCATTTCTTCTGTTGCTTCAACTCCCTGCTTTGCTTTGGTAAGTGCTCTGTTCAGAAATCCTACTCACCTGTGGAATCTGGGAGTCCCTGCAGGGTGGGGTTGTTACGTCCTCTCTTCCCCTTCCCTCTCTGATGACCTGCACCAGTGTATGTGGGGTCTGCAGCAGCCCTGACTCAGCGTCCTCACTCCCGTCACCCCTAGCCCTGCTCACCCAGCCTCACTCCCCCTCCTCAGAGCAGTGCCAGTGACGTGGGAACACAGCTTTGCCTACACTCAGCCTGGTGCTTGCTCACACATCACCTGCTGTGGCTGAAGCCAGGCCTCAGTTTCTCCATGTATTTAAGGCCCTCTCTCTTGTCTTATTTTATCTGATTTGGCTTTCTGTAGCTTTCCTTCCTTTTGTACTAATGCTTCTCTCTGATCTTATTTGCATTCAAATTACCTCGCCAGGTGGTTCACCAATCAGAGGTAAGAATGCTGTCCGTGCATCCTGCCACACCACGCCTCGCCACTGCTGTCACCACCACTCCATCCCGTCCAGTCCAGTCCGTCACCTCCCCCATCCCCATCCCGACCTCTCCAGCGTTCTCATCTCCAGCTCCAGCCCCTTCAACACCACCGGCCACCACACACATCCACTCTCAGTCATCCCCTCCTGTGGACTCATCCATTGCAAGTCTGGATTGTGGAGCTACTTGGCTGATCCCTGCAGTGGGGCTGGATAGCCCCACGGAAGGGGCTGTGTTTACTCCTGCAGGGAAGCCAAGCCCGGGTTCCCCAGGCTGGTGGGAGATGGAAAGTCTTCCCATGAGGTGAGGGAGCATGACCCAGCCTTGCCTTTCCTCTCGAGAACCTCCTTTGTCTTGGGGCCTTCGGTTATTACTAATTCCTCCTTAACATCCTGGCCCTGGATCCTCCTGTAAATCCCTCAGCCCAGCAAGCACTAGGAGGAACATGCAGTTAAGACTTGAGTATAGAGGCTAGGATAACAACAGAAATAAACAGGGTCCTAGGTAACCAGACCCCCTGACCTGTTAGCCCCAGCTGCTTTCATGCAGCAGGACCCTGCAGCCTGGGGTTCCAAAGCCCAGACTGGACTCAGATCCGGGTTCAAGTCTGACCCACCTCCAGTGTGACCTTCAAAAACTTGATTTCTCTTTCAGAAGTCTGTTTCCTCCCTTTCCAATTGCAGCCAGGGCCCCACCTCATGGAGTCTTGAGGATTAGGGAAGAGGAAGAGGATTTGGGCACTGCCTGGCCCAGAGCAGACATCCTGTAAATTGGTCGCTTCCATATGATTTTAGTAACATCATTTTCTCCCCACCTCTTAGTGTCCTTGGGCACATCTCTACCCTCAGAGTTCGGGGCCAGGCTGCTCTCGAAACAGAAGATGGGGCTGGGAGGAGCAGCTGCTTCCCTGTGGGGCACCTTGTCCTTCACCCCGCGAGGACAGGACTCACCCTCCGGATTCCCCGCCCATCCTTTCAGCCTTCGCTGTCTCTTCAGTGCCCCCACTGCTGGATCTTGGTGTTGATTCCAGATTTGGGGGTTTCCGTGTGCAGTAGACTTGGGGTCTGTGTTGGGTCCCCTGACCAGTCCTGGCTCTCAATGCAGGAGAGCCTCCTTCTCCAGCCAGGGTCCCACCCAGGTACTGCTTTCTGTCTCCGCCTGTGGCACCAGCTGCCAGGTCTCCTACTCCCAGCAGAGCTGACCTTAGTGTGGCCCACCTCCCCTCTGCCAGGGTTCTGACCCCCCTCCTCCTGCTTGAATGAACATTTTCTGTAACAACGTCCATCCATCCCATAAACATGACCTGTTGGGTGCCCATCAAGGCTGTGCTCGCTGGAGATGGGTATTTGGCACGTGCCCTGGGCCCTCATGCTCCCTGGTGCTGGTGGGGAGGGCTGAGGCCAGAACCACAGGGCAGGCCAGCCCTTTTTCCCTGTATCAGGGTGAAGCCTGGGCATCCCTCTCCCCCACTCCCAGCTCCCAGCCTCTTGGTTGTTCACGGCCCCTCCTGTTGCCCTGGGTCTGGATGGTGGAAGAGGGGTGTCAGGCAGTGAAGGGGCTATAGCTCAGACCCTAGGTGGCCCTCTCCTGGGGCCTGGGCCTGAAAGCGTGGCCTGAAACTCTTCCTGTGGCTCCTGTCCAGTCCGGTCAGATGGGGTCGGGCAGTTCTGTCTGTGTCCTGTGTGGGTGTGACCATCAGCCAGCCTGGGCTCTGGGAGGGGTAGGTCTGCAGATGGTGGTTTGCTGTCAGGCTGTGTCCTGTGGGGTTATTAACTGTCCGTTGGACCGTCCTGTGTGGGTGTGATTGTCAGCTTGTTCCAGGGGGCGGGGGTGTTGCCTGTGCCTCCGGGTGTTCCTGTCACAGACAGCTTGCCCAGTGTGTGCTCACCAGCAGTGTTTTCAAGTGTTTACTGTCAGGGCAAGAATGGCCAAGTCGACTGGTCTCACCCCTATCCCCTACCCCTCACCTTGGCCCACCCAACCTGGACCTGTCAGGACCCTTCCCTCCACCCTCTGTGAGGGTTCTTTTCAGCACCTCCCCACCCAGTCCCAGCTCCTGTCTGTCAGTTCGCCGCCAGAGCAGCCCCTCAGGGCGCTGGCCGAGTGGGAGCTGCAGCCTCCATTAGCCTCCTGAATTATGCAGGAGCCGTGGTGGGTCGAAGCACTTTAGCAGGACAGAGCTGAGGAGAGGAGCCGGAATGGGTGGGGCTGGCAGGCTGGGGGGTGGTTGGGAGGGGAGGATGGTGCCGTGAGCAAAGGCTGCTGGGCACCAGGCCCCAGGGCCAGGCCTTCCTTCCTGTGGGGTTCTGGTGGGTGGCAGTTTCAGGCCTTGCCCGATGAGGGTGTTGCCTACTTGCGGATCCCAGGCCAGCAGGTCTACTGGCTGCTCCCCCAACGCCTGGCTCACGATGCTCCAGTGGGGATGCTCATTGGCAAACCGGTTCCAGTACTGGCCAGAGCTGGACACTCAGTGGAATTGGAGGATGGGGTAGAGCCCCTGTCCGAGTGGACAGGCCCAACTGGACTGCGGGAGGGGTGGGACTGTGCTGCAGAGCGCGAACTTGGTTCTGGGCAGGAGGCGTCTAGGCTTGTCAGGGAGAGCTTCCTGGAAGCAGCGCTGGTGCCCAGGTGTGGCCCTGATATCGGCAACTCTGGTCAGCAGGAGCCACAGATGCTGTTGAGAACCCTCCTCGTGTTTCGGGCCTGACTGCTGTCTTTGTGTCCCCGCAGGTGCCTTGCAGATCGAGAGCAGCGAGGAGTCGGACCAAGGCAAGTACGAGTGTGTGGCGACCAACTCCGCAGGCACGCGCTACTCGGCCCCTGCCAACCTGTATGTGCGAGGTAAGGACTCGGGTGGCGCCCAGCCGTCTCCGTGGACCTGAGTGGCCCCTGCCGGGACTGCTGGCTGGAGCCTTGGTTTGGACTTCCAGGGCTGCCATGGGCCTCGTCTCTCCTTTGTGCCTCTTTCTGTAGCAGCCCTAGCAGCAGCAGCAGCTCCCACTGGGCAAGCTCCTGACATCCGCCCCGACTTTGCCTTCCTCCTCGCAGGCTCTTTGGGAAGCAGCCACTCTTGGGAGCATTTGTATCTCTTATAGGTCCTGCCTCGTGGGCCCAGAGCCCCACAGGAGTCTAGAGCCTTCTGAGCAGACTGTGTGTGTTTGTGTGTGTTTTAGCAGGTACGCACGTTTGTGTGTCAACATGTGCACACCTGCAGGGTGGGCTCCGGGCCAGGTGCACCTGCCCTCTGACAAGGTTTGCCTGGGGCCTTCCTGGAGGAGGAGCCAGCTGTGCTTTGTCATCGGCCAGGACCATTGTGTGAGGGGTCAGGCTCAGGCAGCTTTGAGCCCCTACAGGTGAACACCTACTGTGTTTTAGGTGCTCTTGCTGGGACTGAGTGGATCACATTCTTTCACAAGTAAAGGTACCCGGTAGAGAGGATCTGAGGACTGTTTTGACATGTCTAGTTTCTGTTACGCTCACAGCCCAACAGGGACCAAAGCCGGCCACCTGCCCCTTCCTGAGAACACCCTGGGTCTTGTGTGCACATTGCCCCTCCCACCCTCACCATCCCCCAACCTGCTCTCCTGCACAGATGGGCGTCATCAAGAGTGAAACTGCCTCCACTCGGGATTTGTCAAGGAAAGTGTCTGCAGCTTCCTTTCAGTGATGATTTCATCACGCTAAGTGCTTAGTGCAGCTTCGCAATGTTATCTCCCTGTCCACCCAGAGCCACGTGTGGGGCAGCTGATGGCAGTGGTCTGTCCCACTCTTCAGGGCCACATGGTCAGACAGAGCAGAGAGAGTTAGGCCATCAACTATGTGCTTATGGAGGGGCTGCACTGTGTTAGGGCACAGGATCCCAAAAAGCCACACCAGTCCTTTTGGTGATGGGCAGATTGTGCTTTAGAGACGGTGGCTGATGCCTCATTGGAACTGGGGGCATGGGATGCGAGGTCCCTATTGGCCTACTTCTCAGGTGTCCTGCTCTTCGAGGCTCACCTGAACTGACCGGGGACCTATCTTAAGGAACAGCATCCGGGCATGGAGGCCAGGAGCCTGAGAGTCGGCCAAATGGCCAAGACCAATGTTGTAAATTGCACAGCATTCCCCCGACTCTGCTCTGGGGCAGAGCTGCTGACCAGTGTACAGGGGCCTGATGAGCCCACTCTAGGGGAGCAGCTGGAATGACCCTTCTCAACTACTTGCGGCCTCCCATCCAGGACCATTCTGACTGCTGTGTAGTCCTGACCGAGCACTTCTTCCAGAGGACCATAAGCTTGAGAGTGCAGGTCCTGGGCCTCAGCAACAAAGTCCTTTACTGCATGTGGCTGCACCAGGGAGAGGAGAGGCCCCGCAGAGCCGCTGTGAATCCCAGGCAGGCTGCGCGGGCATGGTTGTGTGGGCACAGTTCCTGGGGTGGAGCTGCCCAAGGCCATACCGAGGCAGGAGAAGGCCCTGGCCCAAAGTGGATGAACTGTGTATTGTCGTCTTGGCTGAGCAGCGTCCTCTGCAGTGGCCCAGAGGCAGGACAGTGGGTCTCTTTGAGATGAGCTGAGCTCAGCTGCTGTAGCTGGTAGCTCAGCTGCTGTAGCTGGTGGCTCAGGAGCTGACCAATAAGCTGCTACCTCCAGCCCGCGACCTCCCTGTTTATGGGGACTCCACTGTCCGCACATGGTGGGCTCAGGCAGGAACCTGACTGTCTCCTGACATGGCCCACCCTGCACCCCTACCAGGGTTCCTGAACTACCTTCCTGTCCTGTTTCCACAGGGCTTTTGGGCGGGGAATGTGGGAATTCCTTTAGTTCTAGCCCCACTTGCCAGGGACCCTGAAGCAGAGTGTCCCAAACTGGCTTCAGTTGTTTTTCCCTCTCTCTGACATGCATACACGTTCCTGTGGGCCCTGGTGTCTAAGGGCCAGTCCTAAGTCTCTGTCCCCGGACCTGCCCTGTAACCAGGCCCCACCTGAATCTCCACCTGTCCTGCTTTGCAGAGCTCAGCATGCCCCATAGCCCCAGGTCAGGGCCTACTGACTGGACTTGCAGACACCTAGAAAGCCCTGCTGCTAGACCCTGGCCTCTGCTGTCCGCCCCTCCTCCTCATAGTCCTGGAAAAGCAGCGCTGAGGGCCCATCAGCCCCAACCCCTCTGGGATAGCCTCTGCTGTGCTGGCCACCAGCTTTGTATCCTAAGCCCTGCTTGTGGGCAGGCCACCCATGGAAATACCTCCCAGGGCCAACCTGTCTATTGGCTTGGGCCCACTACCTCCCCACAGAGCGACTGCAAGTCTTCCTTCCAGAGCAGGCACCTGTAACCCTGTGGGCTGGTAGGAGGTCCCCCCGGGCTCCATCTGTCAGGAACTCAGCATCCAGGTCAGTGTGGACTCCAGCCCTGGGTTTCTCAGCCTCAGCACTATTGACATTTGGAGCTGATAACCCTTAGCTCTGTGGGCTGTCCTGTGCATTGTAGGGTGTTTGGCAGCACCCCGGCCCCCTAGATGTCAGTAGCACCCTCTAGTCAGGACAACTCACAGTGTCTCCAGACCTTGCCCAGTGTCACCTGGGGGAATCCCCCCAACCCTCTTTATAAACACTGATCTGGATGGACAGCCCCCCGCTGGCCATCATTCCATCTCTGACTCTCTTCTGCCATGTCCACAGGACCTGGGGCCCTGTCTCCCCCTTGGATCTTGCGTCAGTGTCCACCTCACATCCCTCCTCTGTCCCCCAGATTTAGGGCTCCCACCTTCTGTCTGAGATCTGCGGTCACTGCACTTCATTGGACCACATGTATAAAGCTCCCTGCCCGGCGCAGGGCACACAGAAAGTGCTTGGTGGTCAGTAGCCTCTACTGCTGTTGAGGTAGCACTGCTGGGACTGCATCACCCAGTTACAGCTGACTTTGCTCCCAGTCTTCTGCAGCTCCACCCACCGTCTGGCAGGCCCAGACATGCTGGGTGGCCCAGCCCCTCTCCAGCTGACTCCCTCCCCTAGTGACTCACTCTCTCCTTCCATCCACAGCGTCTCTCTTCTCCAGCTCTTAGGATGCACAGCTGCCAGGGACCAGGGCAGGGCCATGCCTTCCACAGAGCCGGCCCTACCTGCCCCCACCTTCCGCCTTCTCTGCAGGGACCTGGCCACTGGGCCACGGCTGTCTCTAACAGGGCCATGTCTTCCCAGCCTTTCTTCCCACAGGCTCCCAAACCAGCTCCTCACACTCTGGTGCCACACAGAGTGGGGCTTCCTCAAGGTGGCGGGATTCTAGTGGCCCATGTGCCTTGGTGGGTTTGCGGGCTGGGTGGGCCCTGACCCCAGAGCCCAGCCCACTGGGTCCATCTGAGCTGTGGGGTGTGTGTGAGGCATGGGGGCCTGCCTGTGCCCTACTCCCACCCTTTCCTCTCCTACCCTTGGCTTCCGGCACCGGCCAGCGGGACCCAGCCCTGTCCACCGTGTCCTCCATGAGTCCTGAGTCTTTTGTGAGCGGCGTGGTCCGCGCGCACCTGCGAGCACGTGTGTGTGCGTGGGGCACAAGAGTCTTGTCTCATTTCTGTGCTGTGTGGGCAGATGAAGGTTGGCCTGTTTTTACTCTCTCTGTGTTTCTCCTTGTCTTTTTTTTATTCCCTCCTCATCTTCATCGCACTCTGCCATCAACCCAAACTCTCATCTCTCAGATCAGCGAGAAGGTTGGTCCTTTTCACTTCTTACCCATCTACAGTTCGCCCATCGATGGGATGCTCCTGTCAGTAGGGACCAGCGGGCTCCGTCAGCCCCTCGGGCTGGCCCCAGTCAGGCCTGCCTACCCGCCAGGCTCTGCGCGCCACTGTTTGGGCCGGCATGCGGGCAGGACCAGGGGTGGGTGGGCAGGCCTCCCTGCCCCGCATGTTTCTGCTGCTTGGGTTCCTGACACCCCACGTGTCTGCATGACCCCTTAGCTGGGCTCCCTGCTGCAGAGGTCGGGTGGGCATGGTGCACGGCATGAGACGGGCCCGCCTTTGTGCCCAGGCCAGGCCAGCTGTCTGCTCCAGGTGGAGCTCAGGAGAGGTTATGGGCGCAGTGAGAGCTGCAGTGCTTTATGTGCTCCCGTGGGGTCTTCCACAGCCTGCACGCATGTAAAATCCACGTTTGCCCAAGCTCGGCTGAAACCAGTGGGAAAATGAAGGGAAAAGGCTAGCCTAGAATGAGCTCACCCCTCAGGATCCTGCAACACAGGGTGAAAGTTCTACAGGGTCTGCCCTGTCCTTGAAGCCCCTTACCTCAAGCCGGATGGGACCCAGTTCTGCCTACTGAGCTTAGTGTCCGAGACACTAGGTGGTTGGCATCATCTTGGCTCACGGAGGAAGTGTTCTGCTGACTTGTCTTTTTCCTCTCGGACCAGATCCAAATGAAGGTCTTCTCACCTGCCCCAGGCCCCTCTCTCTGCCTGAGGCTCCCAGACAGCTGGCATTTCCTCAGCCCCATGCTGGGCATTCAGACCAGGAGCTCACACCTGACTGACGGGTCAACTGCAGCTTAGCGAGGCCCACACAGGAGTCTAGGAGAGGCCCTGGCCTAGCTGCAGGTTGGGGAGGGCTTCCTGGAGACTCTGCACCAGCCCATTCCAGAGCAGTCTCACCCCCTCAGGGCTACACCCCTACCCTCAATCCTGGGACCAGTAGCAGGGGCCAGTGGGCCTATCTGTGTCACATGGTCTTAGTGGTCAGTGGAGCTCACCTGTGCGCTGGGCTTTGGGCTGAGCCCCAGGGAGCAGAGCTGGGCCACCTGGTCCCCTCTGCATCATCTCTGTGGTATGAATTACCTCCATGAGGGAGAGTGAGCCAGTCGGAGCAGGGCTGCAGCCTCGGCTCAGATATCAGCCCTGAGCATCCATCCATATGCACTCTTGAGCTTGGGGGCATTTCACTTACACCATTTCGCTGACCCAGCAGATCTGCCAAGTTCAGAAAACAGTCATCAGCAGAGAGCCCAGCCTGCAGCCGCCTCCCCCTGTGCCCCTTCCCCCACCCTCCTGGTCCCTTGTCCCTTGGGTTCTTGACACCCCACGTGTCTGCATGACCCCTTCTGTGGTCCCACCAAAAATAAGCATGTACACAAATATTTAATGGGAAGGCAGAAATGAGTTTCTAAATATTCCGGGGGGTATTTGCCGGGCCGGTAATTTGTTTGGCGCTGATAATTACATCTTACATTTTTCCAGCTTTACTTAAAACTGTGTGCCGAGTGTGCCGGCATTTAATTACTGCTCTGCGGCAGCCACAAGGTTATTTATTAAAGAGTTATTTTATCTTGATACAGTGGATCCTGCCCCTTATCCCCTCCTTAATGTTGTGTTATTTTCATCGGAGAAATTTCCGGGAGTGAATGCAGATTGCGGGGCTGCCTCCCCCCTGCGATTAGGCTGTCACTCCACTGAATGCTGATGCCTCCAGGCGCCGCACCGCCCTATTATAGGTGGTTGTCAGCTCAAATAATTAGACTTAAAAGTTACAGCTGAAATATAATCCAGAAATGGCAAGGCCCTGTTTTGGAAATTGTCTATAAAATGTCAGCACTAAGGATGCACGGGGAACAGTAATAGACCGGCATTGTTGGAGCTCACGATTAGACCCTAAGTGCATTTTTCCCGACTCTGGTTTTCCCTTCCCTGCTGTTGCTTCTGTCAATAGACTGAGTCCAGGGAGGGTCCTCCCCCTTTTGGAGGCCTTGTGTCTGTGACAGTGGGAGGAGTCCGGTGGGGCTGCTGCTGGGAGGCGCCTGCCACCCCGGCTCTTGGGATGGGGGTGGCTGTCCCGGCAGGTCCAGAGGGCACTCAGATCCCAAGAGGTAGTGTCTCGTCTCCGCTGCCCCCACCCTCTCTCTGTAGACCTGACTTCCCTCATGCTGTGGGGAAGATGAGACTGGGCTGCAGGAAACTGCCCTCCAGGCTCCTTGTGTGTGACTGAAGGCCAGTATCCTTGTGAAAGCGTCAAGTGTGGTGTATGCCACCTAGGAGTCCTTGGACTTGAGGCCCTTGCCTGGTGCTAGGGATGACCCTAAGGGTCATGTCTGACCTCTCACTCGTCCTTAGCTCCTGGGGTTCTCCTTTCCACCTGTATCTAGGTGGGGAAGAAATAAAAATAAAAACAAAACTCTTCTGGATGTGTTCCCAAAGGGCCTTCATTTCCTGGCAGGGCCACAGAAGACCTGTCCTAGGGGATGATTTGAGGTAAAACCCAGTCAGTTTTCTGTACTGCTTAGGTCCAAGGTTTATTGGCCAAGGGCCTGCATCCTTTTCCTGGAGCTCTTGTTCTTATGTCCAGGGACCTGATTAGGTTCCAAGATTCTGCCAATGATCACGGTCAAGTTTGCCACCATGACCTCTGCCCTGGCACAGGCTCTTCAAGTCCCATCTTTATGCCGACTGGAGAATATCTTCTCCTGCCAACCTTGGCTAGCCCAGAGGCCATGAAGCTTGAGGAGCTTCTTCATAGAACCTCTGGGTCTCTTTTTTTCAGCCCTGTGGGCCAGGACTCAAAAGGGCAAGAGCTTTTCAGCACACAATCCTCGTAGTACATATATAAACTCTGGCATCTCACTTAAAATGTCAGTCTCCAGTCAGTTCCCTTGTCTGTAATTGGGAGGTGATACCATCCACAGCGTGGAAACCTTCAGCACATATTAGGTGATCACTTAAGAGTGATTTCCTTTCCCCAAGCCGATTTTGATGCACATGAATGAGGAGGAGATGGGGCAGCTGCTGGCTGAGACAGAGGAGAGACTTGGTCAGTTACGGCTGCTCTGCTGTCCCTTTCTGCTCGAGCCAGGGCTGTGCTGGGCCCCTGCCTGCCTGCGCCTCTCCTCTGTAGCCTGCCCTTCAGCTCAGCTCCAGAACCCAGGGAGTGCCTGCACCACAGGCTGGGCGATGTTTCTGTCTGTGCCTCCCAGCCTCACCCTTGTGTCATTTGTGGGGAGTACTCAAAGGAGGCTCTTTGTCGTGGCTTCCTCCTGCCACCCATGCCCCCAGGATCCACCTGTTCCCTGCTACACAGAACTGCTGTACCTGTGACGTGTCTTGTCATTCAGTGTAGATGCCCAGCTTTAGGACAGATGGCAGAAGTCCACTTCTGTCAGCTCCAGCAAAACAGGGAAACTCTTGTCTTACCAAACTAAAAAAACGTAGAAGTAGGTTTGATGTCAGGCAAGGCTGGATCCAGACACTTGAACGGTTTGGTTGAGCATTCATCTATCTCTGTCTCTAGCTCTGCTCGCCTCAATAACTCCTTTGTTCTCAAGCAGGTCCTCTTGTGTTTTGCAACAGGTGGTCCCCAGTCCCTCTAGGCTAGCCAGCACAATGGAGAGAAAAGGTTGCTTTCCTACTAGGTTTTACAAAAACCCAAAGGCTGTATCTCATTAGCCAGACCTGGATCACATACACCACCGACCAAGAGTGGGGGCTGAGAAATTTCCCCTCAAAAGATGAGAATGCAGATTCTAGGAGAAGGCAGAGCGCTTGATTTCCCCAAGACACGCTGAGACCCCAGTGAGTCTGGGGCACAGAGGGAAGCAGACCCAGCCTCTGGCACTGGGTCATGCCGAGCCCACTGGGAGACTGGCAGTGTTTTGGTTCTGTCTGGAGGCTTTGGAGGGAGGCAGTGTGGGCGGAATTGAGGTGGGGGCTGAGGAGCAAGTTGGGGTCCTGTAGTCTGGGCTGAGGAGTCGTTGTGGACCGATGCAGGAGTTTTTAATGGGAGTGATGTGAGCAGATTTGGATTTGTTACAGCCGTTTGTGGACCACCAGTTATAGGACCAGAGGCCCAGGGGACGACAAGACAGGAGGAGCAGTGAAGAAGTGATCGAGGGAAGGATGGTGGCTTGGACTTTGGAGGTGGCAGTCTTCTGTGGACTTGGAAAGAAAGTAGTGTGTTTGACAGATACTTAGGTGATGCATTAACAGGACCTGGTGGTTTGCTGGATGTCTGATCTCTGGGCTGCTGCTTTGACCACTGTGTGGTGAGGTCGTAGGTTGGACCAGGTGGTCTCTGCAGTTACTTCCAGCTCTGATACTGTGGTCTGGGGCTGTGTGAGCAGCAGTCTGGTGCCTGTAATGGAGGTGCTCCTAACGTGGCACATGGATCCTTTGCATGCCTGGGCTCCCCAACAAGAGTCCTCAGAGACCCGCACTCAGTGGTGCCCTCTGGTCTCTCAGCCTCGCTGCCTGCCTTCTCCCGCCCTGTCTGTAGGGGTGCCCAGGAAGGACACACCCCAGCCTCTGCCCACCAGCTGCATGCCAAGTCTGCATGCCACGCGTGCCTGCCCATGGCTAGGTCTTGCCTGCCTTCCCTTCCTCTGCATGTTCCAAATGTCTGTGCCAAGCTTGCGACTTTGGCAGGGGTTGGGGGTGGTCCAGGCTACACCTTGGACTGAGAAGCTGAGAACAGCTTCTGACCTGGGAAGCCCAAGGCCGGAGGTCGTGGCCAGGCACAGCCACCCTCCCCCTTGAGACCCTTGTTCATTGGCGCTGAAAGCTGTCTGCTCGGCGCCCTCATCATGTTCCTGCCATCGTCATGCCCATCCTGCCCGCGGACCACGTCCCTGGCCCGCCCTGAACCCTGGCCCATGCCGAGTCCCTCCTGGAGGTGGCCCCTCTGTGTGGGTTCCCAGCCTGTGCCCTGAACATTCCTGGGGTCCTGGCAGGTGGTCCTGCCACTGCCCTCCTCTCTTCCCCTTGGATCATGGCCCGAAAGTGGAGGCAGTGGCTCCAGAGAAGGTAGCCCTGCCACTTCTGGGCTGACCCTCTGCCCTGCCCTAGACATGCTCTCTACCCTAGGACCCTCCACCCTAGGGTGCCTGGATCTCTCTCACTGCCCCAGCTAGCCCCTCTGGAGACCCTTGGTGGGGGTGGGGGTCAGGAGCAGGTAAGGGTGGGCACTGGAAGGCGACCTGGGATGTGGCCCTGACGAGGCTTGGACCTTGCACTGAGTCCTTGTGTGACCCTGGACCTCAGTTACCTAAGCTGTGAAAAGGCGGCTTGATTGCGGGATCTCTCATGTTTCAGACAGTCCCTGAGAGCAGAGGCTACCTCTAGCCCGAAAGCAGGGTGGGAGATGGTCAGCCGGGGCCCAGGGACTCCGCCTCTCCTGCCACTGCAGTGGGTTTGGCTTCCTGAATGAGGGGCCCCTGCCCTTCCATCCCCGCGTGTGTCCTGCCCAGCCTATGAGTGCCTCTCTCCCTCCTCCCGCAGTGCGCCGTGTGGCTCCTCGTTTCTCCATCCCCCCCAGCAGCCAGGAGGTGATGCCCGGCGGCAGCGTGAACCTGACGTGCGTCGCCGTGGGCGCGCCCATGCCCTACGTGAAGTGGATGATGGGGGCTGAGGAGCTCACCAAGGAGGACGAGATGCCGGTCGGCCGTAACGTGCTGGAGCTCAATAACGTTGTGCGCTCCGCCAACTACACCTGTGTGGCCATCTCCTCACTGGGCATGATCGAGGCCACGGCCCAAGTCACCGTGAAAGGTGAGTGCCTGCTGTGGCCTGTGGCCTGCCCTGTAGCAGAGGGCGTGGCAGGCAAGCGTGGCTGCCGGGGGATGGGGGTGCCAAGGGGTCGTTGCCTTCCTGGTGCCCAGCTCTGGGGTCCTCCTGCTCCTCAGTGATGGAGGAAGGGGTTTCTGTCAGAAAAAGTCTTAGTAATGATAGCTAACAGGTACTGGGTTCCTGGGGTTAGTCAACGCAGATTGTTTTGTTCATGTGTGGTGTCACTCTGGGAGAAAGTCAGTCTCATTGTCCCCATCTTATAAATTAGACAGCTGAGGCACATGGTCACATGGAGGTAAATGATGAAGCAGAGACTTGAACCCTGGGGGTCTGATTCCCCCTCACACCCCTCTGACCACTACTTAGCACCAGACCCTCGGGTTTACCAGCCTCCTGGCAAGAAGGATGAGAAGAGAGCCAAGGTGGGTGGGTTCCCTGCCCGGGGCTCTGGGACAGGTCGAGTACAGTGCAGACTCCTTGGGGCACCCTGCTTCCATTCCCCACCCGACCTCTGACCCCTTCTCCACTCTGCAATGTGAATGTTCTTTTTAAAAGTAAAGCAGGATCACATGACTCCCTTAAAGAAAAGGGCAAACACCTTCCAGTGTTTTCCTGCTGCTTTTCAGATAAAGACCTCACGGGATCATCACTGCCATGCACTGGCCAGTTGTGCCGTCTCCTCACCCTGCCCTTGCCATCACCGGCTCCATCTCGCTCTCCACAGCTCTGTGGGGCCTTCCCCAATCACCCCAATCATCGGAGGACACCCCTGAGTTTCACTCCATCTCAGCACCCTGCTTTCTGCTGTCCTTACACATACCAAAACCATGATTCTCAACTCACTGATTACTTCTCTCTCACACTGGAGTATAAACTCTGTGAGAGCAGGGACGTGGTTGTCAGTGTATTCTCAGCCCTAGCACAGTGCCTGTCACACAGTAGGTGCTCAGTTACTATTGTTGAGGGATTGGATGCAGACCTGGGACTTCCCCACCTGCAGTTTGAGCCAAGCCACAGAGTCTGTGGGACCAGAAGCCCTATCACTTTCTCAAATTCAGAGGCATTACCGAAGGAAGTATCTTTCCCCTCCCAGCCCCTGTTACAAAGACTGGCGAACAGGTGAGCCCAGACATGCTGCAGAGGCAGAGATCTCCGCTCCTCAGCCTTTGTGCCCTCCATCTGCATGGGACCGAGGCAGGCCACCTCTGGATCTGTTTGTTAGATGAGCCACTGGAGCTGATGTGAGGATCCAAGGAGTCCCAGAAGTGACTTGGATAGACACTAAATGACCCAAGGTGCCTGGAGGCACTGTCAGGTGGCCACTGTCTCCCACTAGCTGACCTCAGGGCTTTCCAGGCCATTCTTCAGGGTGGGCTGTGGGGGTCAACCACTCTCTGGTTGGATGAACCCCAAGAGCAGGGGTCGTGACCTCAGGCAGCCCTGAACCTTCCATTTTTGTCCCCAGCTCTGCCAAAGCCTCCGATTGACCTTGTGGTGACAGAGACAACCGCCACCAGCGTCACCCTGACCTGGGACTCTGGAAACTCAGAGCCTGTGTCCTACTACGGCATCCAGTACCGTCCAGCGGGCATGGAGGGTCCCTTCCAGGAGGTGGATGGCGTGGCCACCACCCGCTACAGCATTGGCGGCCTCAGTCCTTTCTCGGAGTACGCCTTCCGCGTGCTGGCGGTGAATAGCATCGGGCGAGGGCCGCCCAGTGAGGCGGTGCGGGCGCGCACAGGGGAGCAGGCTCCCTCCAGCCCCCCGCGCCGCGTGCAGGCACGCATGCTGAGTGCCAGCACCATGCTGGTGCAGTGGGAGCCACCCGAGGAGCCCAACGGCCTGGTGCGGGGCTACCGCGTCTACTACACCCCCGACTCCCGCCGCCCCCTGAGCGCCTGGCATAAGCACAACACGGATGCCGGGCTCCTCACCACCGTGGGCAGCCTGCTGCCCGGCATCACCTACAGCCTGCGTGTGCTGGCCTTCACTGCCGTGGGCGACGGCCCCCCAAGCCCCACCATCCAGGTCAAGACGCAGCAGGGAGGTAGGTGCTGGTGGATGGCGGGCAGAGCTGGGGTGGGCGAGGCTGGGCAGTGCCTCCTCCCTCCAGCCATGAGCTTGGGGCTTCAGGAGAATAAGGGCTTGTGTCCACACATACGGTCACTTGGGAGGCAGGGTGGGTGTGGGGGTGAGGCCTGGCCTTCCTGTCTCCTTTTCCTGGATGCTCCCGCCCTCGGGGGGATTGGTGAGGCTGATGGCACCTGACCTGGCGGTGTTGCAGTGCCTGCCCAGCCCGCGGACTTCCAGGCCGAGGCGGACTCGGACACCAGGATCCAGCTCTCGTGGCTGCTGCCCCCGCAGGAGCGGATCATCAAGTATGAGCTAGTGTACTGGGCGGCAGAGGACGAGGGCCAGCAGGTGAGTGCCCACAGGCCAGAAGGGAGGAGGACTCCTCCTGGTCCCTGGGGGTCTGTGGTGGGCTCACCCAGGCTTCTCTAGATTTCTGTGGTCATGTGGGCACAGTCCCTTGGGGCTCTGGGATTTATGTGGCCTCTGTGCTTCTGTAGTCTTTTGTCACCTCTGTGCTGGGGACAGAACCCCTAGATCTGTCCTGGATCTCTTAGGCTCTGTGCTCACATGGCACCAGCAGAGCCCTGAAATTCTGCTAGGGCCAGGCAGTTGGTGAGGTGCCCTTGTGTGGTCCAGGTGGCCATGTGGCATGAAGCCAGCCCTGTAGCCACCATGGGTCCCCGGGGGTCAGCTGCCTTCTATGTTGGGGAACAGCCTCTGAGGGACCTTTGAGGTCAGGGCAGTCAGTGAGTGCTCCCTGCTCTTCCAGCACAAGGTGACCTTCGACCCCACCTCCTCCTACACACTAGAGGACCTGAAGCCTGACACGCTGTACCGCTTCCAGCTGGCTGCCCGCTCTGAGATGGGGGTGGGCGTCTTCACCCCCACCATTGAGGCTCGCACAGCACAGTCTAGTAAGTGTCTCCCGAGGCCACCACCTGCTACAGTTGGGCAGGGACGCAGACATACACATACCCCTTCCCCTCGACCAGGCGGGTGGTCAGATCTGCTGGGCCCTGGGCTCAGTCTGGACCTTAAGAGAGGGACAGGTAAGTGCCCTCTAGTCTGCATCCAGGCGGTTGCTGTGCTCGCTGCTCCCTGCCCGACTCCTGCCCCTCCCTCACCTCTACGCCCACCCAGGTAAGTCCTGTGTCTCTGACTCACCTCCTTCCCCAACCCACTCTGTGCTAGTCACACTAGCCTACTGGGCCGTCCTCAGTGGAGGGACCACTGTGCTCGCTGTGTCCCATACCTGCTTCTGCGGGCGTCTCCCCTCCCCATATCCTCACATCTCATCTCCCTATTACCTGTGTTCCCACCTCATACCCCCTCCGCAAAGAGTACATGTGAGCTGTGCAGTCACACTGAGCCAGAGCACACAGCAGAGATGAGACCGTGTGACTAGGCGTGTCTCCCTGCCTGTGTTGAGACCATGTGGCCCTCCATGTGTTGGAACATCCATGAGGCCATCTGTGTGCCTGCTTTGCATGTTACTGTATTTCTGTGTGAGTGAGACTCGGATGCCGTGTGTCCCTGCCCAGGCACCTAACAGCTCCCAAATGTGTGTGTCACGAGTCTGCTGTAGTCCTGGGGTCAGGTCTGTAAGGCTGTTCTTAGAATTGGGACCCAACCAGTGTGTCTCTGGGTGTCTGAGGGTCTCTGCAGCTCTCCTAGTGACAGACTGTGAGACTGGTCATGTGGCCAGTGGGCCACTGTGTGAGGCTGTATGTGATAGCCGTGCCATAGGTGTGTGGCTGGTTAAGGTTGTGGCATTGAGACTGAGCACATGTGCTGACATGTGATGTTCTTGTGAGGCCGCCCATGTCACATGGGACTGTGTGAATGTGCCACGTGTGATCTGATGTTCACAGATTCATTCTGTAAGTGCCTGCCGAGCTCCTGGTCAGGGCCCGTGCACACTGCAGGGCCAGCAGCACAACCCTGACGCAGCCTCTGCCCACGGGGATCCTAGTCCAGTGGGGAAGACAGAGGTTAAACCCGCAATTATCCAAATGAGCTTTTAATTATGTTTGTGTAAAGTGCTGTGGAAGAGGCAGACAGTGCAGAGGTGATGGGACGGGAACCTCACCTGGTCTGCGGGGTCAAGGAGGGCTTCCTTGGGTGATACAGAGGCCCCAGGAAGGGGGCCAGCTGGTGCTCAAGGCAGGAAGGCACTTGGTTGTGGTAAGCAGCAAGCAGCCGGCCAGTGTGGCCAGAGCAGCCCCAGATCACAGCAGTCAGGGCCTCAGGGACAGAGGACAGGAGGGAGGGCTGCCTGGCTGCTGTGTGAGAACACACGGGACAGCCAGACAGAATGCCGGAGACCAGTGAGGAAGCTGTGCATCAGTCTAGGCAAGAGATGTAGGCTCAGGTGAAACGGTGGGGGTGGATTTAAGAGCTGTCTGGGATGCTACTGGCCGGACTTGGTGATGAGTTAGGTGTGGGGCGCTGAGGGAGAGGGACACACTGGGTGAAACCTGTGTGTGTGGTGCACAGACCTGGGAGGACAGTGGTGCCACTCCCTAGGATAGGAAGTGGGACAGAAGCAGGTGGGAGGGGTGCACCTGGTTCCAGGGCCCCCAAGCCTAAGATGCCATGTGCCATCAAAACGGTGATGCTTGACAGGCTGCCAGAATCCAGGGCTGGGGGTGGAGGTGGAGAACGAGAGATGGAAGGCGATCCAGGAGTGGGGAGTGTCTTGGAGGTTGAAAGAAGAGGCTTTTAAGAGGTGGACCAGATGCTCCCACTAAGTAGTCAGGGCCAGAGGGACACAGGAGCATCCACTGGATGTAATGTGTAATGTGGGGGGTGGACCCAGACGAGAGTTTTGGTGGCATGAGGGGCTGAAATCAGTTGTAGTTCCACGTGGTATGAATGGGAGGCAAGTAGAGACAGAGAGCTCAGTGTCTGCAGTTTAGCTGGCGGGAGGGGACACTGTAGCTGGTGTAGGGTGGGGGATGGTGGGCGTGGGGCTGAGACTGGGATTTGCCTCGTAAGATGGGAAAAAACTGAACATATATAAATGCTATTGGAAATGTGTTGATACGAAGAAGTAGAAAATACAGAAAAGAGAAGGCTAATTGGAGGCTCAGGAGGTGGAGAAGAGAGCGGAGCACGGGCGATGGGAGAGATTGGCCTTGGACAGGAGGGCACCCTTTGCCCTTCCCAGGGGAGGAAAGGAGAAACTTGGTGCAAATGCAGGTTGGTTGGTGGGTTTGGTAGCAAGAGATGGAGGAGCTGCTGTTGGGGGACTTTGGTTTTCTTGCAGAGTTGGAGACAGGGTCGTGTGCTGAGAGGAGGGGAGATGGCAGGAGCTGGCGGTTTGAGGAGTCTACAGGAGGTGGGAGGCATCTGGTGTAAAGTGGTGGAGGGAGCCGGGCAGAGAACGGAGCAGCAGACAGCATGGAGGGCCCAGGTGAGGCCGTGGGGTGCTCACAGGATGCCAGCTTGCCCGAGTGCCGCCTCGAGAAAGTGTAGGGTTGGGTTCATTCAGAGCTTGGTGCAGCCTGGGCAGGAGCTTGGAGGAGGAGGCAGGGGAGTTTGTGATGTTGGCGAGAGTGGTAAGATTCTAAGCTGAATGTCGAGGGTGATAAGGACGGGAGGTTGATGGATGAGGTGCCCCTCGGGGAGGTGTAGGCACAGTGCTGGGGGCCCTGGGCAACTGAGCTGGGACAGCAGGTGAGGGCCTGTGGGGGGTGCTGGAGGCTATAGTCTTAGAGACAGTGGCAGCATCCAGGGCATGACCACAGCAGCACAGAGGAGGAGAAAGCTCTGGAGATGAGGGACTTGAGGGCCAGTGGGTTGAGGGGTGGCTGGAGTCACCTGGGCAGGGGTGGTGGCAGAACTTGAGATGGCAAGAAGCCTGTGTGATAGCAACAGTGTCCTCAGTGGGAATAGGGTCTGGAAATGTCACTGGGAACAAGGAGGGCATGGACCTGCCTTCTGACACCCAAGAAAGCTGTTGAGCGAGGACACCTCCCCTGTGCCAGGGGCCTGTAGCCTCTGTGACTTCCTGCCCCTCAGTCGCAGACACCCTCTCGCAGGCACAGGCCGAGGCAGCTGTGCACCAGAAGAGCCGATGGGGTCACTTGTCCTGAGAAGGGAGAGAGCTGTGGGCTGGAGAGGGTCTCCATGTGTGGTTGTGGGTGTGACTGGGGTGAGGTTGACATGGCCCCATGCTTGTGTGTGTCTGATGCTGTGTTTGTTTATGGGAGACTGTGTGTGAGGTGCTGTGTTAGAGCCGTGTATGTGTGTGTGTGTGTGTGTATGTGTGGAGCCTGTGGTCCAGAGGGAGCCAGGCCATCTGGTGGCAGTGGCAGCAGCCTGCCTGGAGGGGCCCTGGGATAGCCACGCTGTACCCGGGGCGTAGCCTGCCTGGGTGAGTTTCCTGTCCTCTGTGATTGGTCGCTGTGCCTGACCCCCACCTCCATCTGCCTGCTTCCCCCCATTTGTCTTCCCCAGCCCCCTCCGCCCCTCCCCAGAAGGTGACGTGTGTGAGCGTGGGCTCCACCACAGTCCGGGTAAGTTGGGTCCCACCGCCAGCCGACAGCCGCAACGGCGTTATCACCCAGTACTCAGTGGCCTACGAGGCGGTGGACGGCGAGGACCGCGGGCGGCACGTGGTGGACGGCATCGGCCGCGAGCACTCCAGCTGGGACCTGGTGGGCCTGGAGAAGTGGACGGAGTACCGGGTGTGGGTGCGGGCGCACACAGACGTGGGCCCCGGCCCCGAGAGCAGCCCGGTTCTGGTGCGCACCGACGAGGACGGTAGGCGGCGCTGAGGGGTGGGTGGGGAGGGTGGCTGCTCTGCCAGGACACCACCCACCTGGCTCCCAGGGCCTTGACCTCCTGCAAGCCCAGAAGGACACATCATCTTTCTGGTGTAGGCTTAATAGTCCAAACTGGGGAGGTGCAAGAGACACTCAGTAGAATCAACTAGACTCTGCCTTGGCTAGATGTTGGCGTGATGTGGGGCCCAGGAAGAGATAGGACAGGTTGACTTGGGGTGGTGGAAGGCCTGGTGCCCCACCTTCACCCAGTTCCCCCACTGCTATCCTCCCCACCAAGTGAGGTTAGCCTTGAGCCAGAGAGGTGACAGGGTCCCCGACTCTTCCCTGTGCCAGGCAGAGGGAGCCTTCCACGTTCCCCTCCAGGGACAGACAGCCTAAGGAAACTGCATCAGATCCTTTCCTGGGGCCGTGGGGAAGGTCCTGGAATGTTCTGTGCCTAACTGAGCCCAGATCCGTACCATGGGCCTGACTTCCTTCTCCACCTGGTTCCCAGTGCCCAGCGGGCCACCGAGGAAGGTAGAGGTGGAGCCACTGAACTCCACGGCGGTGCACGTCTCCTGGAAGCTGCCTGTCCCCAGCAAGCAGCATGGCCAGATCCGCGGCTACCAGGTCACCTATGTGCGGCTGGAGAATGGCGAGCCCCGGGGCCCCCCCATCATCCAGGACGTCATGCTGGCCGAGGCCCAGGTGTGTCACTGGGAGGTGCTGGGGTGGGAGGGTGAGCGAGGCCAGCATGCTTTGCTTCCTCTTTGGAGCCCAGGTTTGCTTCCTGCCCCTGCCTGCTCTCAGAGGGACTGTGACACCAAGACGTCCTGCTGCATCAGGCTAGGGAAGTGCTGGGACCAGGTGGTTAGGACGAGGTGTCAGGAGCACTCCCTCCTCTGTCTTGGGTCTGCCTAAGCTGTGTCATCCCAGACCCTGTCAGCCCCATCTGCCCAGGTGACAGCCTGGCAGTCTGTGGCTCAGCCACCAGCACTAGCAGTGAGCTCTGTCCTCAGTCCCCACAAGCCTTCCTTTGTGGTTTGCAGGAAGTACATTCGCTGTCACACATAGGCTGGGCTTAGGAGATGCAGCTGCTCCTCCTACAGCCAAGGGCTGTCCTCTCCCCCGACTTGGCCCTTGGCATCGCAGAGTCCTGTGAATAGCCAGGCTGGGGTTTTGCTCCGTGCTTTGCCCGCAGAGGATGGCTCAGCCCCTGATGTTTACTCTCGAGGGCTGGGCCTGCCAGCCAGTCTCATACCTTCCTCTGTGCACTTCTGTCCCTAGGGGTGAGCTTGGGGTGAGGTCGCTGGGGTATTCTCAGCACTGGTTTGCTATTCAGATGGAGAACCTGAGGTACTAGGCGGTTAGGCAAGTGGGCCAGAATTTCCCAGTAAGGGGTGGATAAGAAGCCAAGTCTCCAGACTCCTGGGAAAGGGCTATAATTGCTACCACGAGTTCCCTCCCAAAATAATCTGCTGAAAAGTCACAATACTTGGTGTGTCTGTGCTCAGAGGCTTCCCATCGAGAATCAGGGCCTTGGAGGGATCCACAGAGGGCAGCGCTGTGGAGAAAGAAGCCCAGATTCCCTCCAAGAACCCACACACCCTCCCCCCTCCCCATTCAGTTTTCACCCTACCTGGGCTGGGGTCAGCGGTGCAAACATGTACCCTGTGTTCTGCGTGCTGTGCTGAGGGATGGACTCACCCATAGACAAGACAGGGCCTTCATGCCATCTGCTGGGCTCAGCCCTTTGCCCAAAGGACGCCTTCTTCCTCCTCTCAGCCTGCCCAGTGCTGAAGGAACGGGGTGGAGGAGGCTGTGGACCCGCCTGCATTCCGGCGCAGGTTGAGGGCTCTTCCCGGAGCTTCAGCGGACACACCCACCCAGAAACATCCTGGGAATGGGCTCTGTCCAGTCCCTCCCACCCTAGGGGGCCAGCAGCACGGCTGCAGCCAGTGGGGTTTCAGAGAAGCCACTTTGAGTGCCCCCTTCTGGTCCCAAGTGGTTTGAAAGGAGCTGGGCCATAGGACAAGGGACACCGTCCTCTTGGCTATGGATACCCTATGACAGAAGGTAATGATGAGCCTGGGCTCCAGGGGAGCGAAGTGAAGGTGGAGGGCCTGCCCTTGCAGCACCATCACCTCCCGGGACTGGGTCATTCTGCTCCAAGCCAGTAGCAGAGCAGATGGGGCTGGTCCCCACGCTGGCCACAGGGCCCAGCTGTCCCCCAGCGCCTGGTCAAGGACACCACAGCCTGTCCTCCTTCCCCACAGCACCATCTGCTTAGCCCAGGCCCCATCAGTTCTGAAAGAAGCATGGGGTATGTGGCCCCCCATGAGTGTGCAGCCAGACCTGTCTCCTTGCATGTATGTCTCCATCTCAAGCCTGTCCGTTTGTCGTGGTCTCCAGCTCCATCTCCCTGTCTCCTTCTGTCCCTTTCCTGTGGCCTGCTTTTCCATCTTCTCTCTGTTTCTGTCTCCCTCTTACCTACTGTGCTTCTGTCTGTCTTGTTCTCTTCTCTCCTCTCTCCTGTCTCCCATCTCAAGCCTCTCCCTCCCATACCCTAGAAAGTGGCCGTGGCTGGGGGGGCAGTAGATGGCTTCTTCCCATATGTTATCTTGTGCTCCTTGCAAGGACTTTCCAAGAGACCTTCCTGGGGCAGGAGGAACTGGGGCCATTGGGCAGAGACTAGACCAGCACTGCAAGGGTGGTTGAGCAGGAGGACCCCATGGAGCTTCTAGTCTGGAGATGTTGTGGAGCACCTACCTGTGCTGTCCTGCCAACCCTCAGTGGTGCCATAGGACTACCCTCCCTGCACCTGTCCAGCTAGTATACCTTTGTGCACAGTGTCCTAAAGTGGAATGTTCGAGAAATAGCAGTGCCGGCCCCGAAACGAGGCTCCCTACCTTGATTATCAGGCACCCCAGGAAGGAACAGGGGTCTCAGTGATTCGCTCGTGCCTTGGGGCAGGATCCAGGCTTCAAGCTTGGCACTTGCAGCCTTCGTCTTGCTGGCCAGCCTGCCCCAGCCCCTTCCAGCCACAGTACAGCTCCTGCTGTTCCTGGGACAACCCTCCTTGCCTAGGGTGACTGGATACCCTATCTTCTCAACTGGGATACTTCTGAGAGTGAAAAGAAATGCTGTGAATACTCATTCCAATACAGCAAGCCTAGGCCAGGACTGTCTGAGGCAACCCAAGGGCACAGTCACCATACTCACCCTCGTGTCTCCCCTCTGCCATGTCCGGCAGTCTCTCCCTCAGAGCACCTCCAGGTGGCGCTGTGTGACCTCCTCAGTTTCTGGGAGCCCTCTCCCTCCAGCCCACTGCCCTCCAGGCCTCCCCTCCTCATCCCTGGCGCACATAGCTGGGCTCACACACAGTTGGGCTCGTGAGGCGGGGGCTGGGATCTTCGGACAGGGAGTGGTCCTGGGGTGCCACTCCTGGGCACTTCAGAGGCCCATGCCCGCCATCTGCCCTCCCCGGGCCAGGCCCCTCGGGGCCAGAGTCCTTCACATCCTGTCTCCCTTTCTCTCCCTCTCCCGCGGTCAGTGGCGGCCAGAGGAGTCCGAGGACTATGTAAGTAAGAGGTGTGCGAGCGCGGGCAAGACTTGGGTCAGGCTGGGCTCGTGGGACACTCCCCCTCCTCCACCTCTCCTCCCAGCCTGAGCCACCAAGATCCACAGGGCACCAGCCACATCCAGAGAAAATTGGCATTTAGGCGCAAGCCCCAAGCTGAGCAGCGACTGGCATTTCCTCTAATCCTTACCTTCTCGCCTGTCGAGCAGCAATTTCAGGCCAGTGTTCGCGATCGACCAGGGCCTGGCCCCTGCTCTGGCCAGACGGGGATAGAGTTAAATCCGATCCTGATCGTTAGGCTTTATTGATCCCTGGAGTGAAAAATCACCTGCTCTGGGCCCAGGCTGGGAGGGGAGTCCGGGGAGCTGGGTTCCAGCGTTGGTGCATTCTGGAGCCCCAGCCCTGGGAGACCCTCCAGCCAGGGCAGGAGGGGGCCTGCAAGGGGTTGGTGGCGGCTGCAGTGGCCCCACCTGAGGCTCAGAGCTGGAGGGACGCCAGGGTTGGTGGTGACAGCTCTATTCCCACTGAGCGGTGTTTCCCTCCCCTCTTCCCACTCTTCCCTCTGTGTGGTGTGGCTTAGCCTCCCGTGGTTTTCTCCGCATGTCCGGAAATGATGCCTTGGCTGGGGATGGGTATATGGGCAGAGCCTGCCAAGACAGGGGGAACACTGCCCTAGCTGAGTTCTCAGGCATCACTGGGGGCGGTGGGGAAGTATGTTTCTGGGGGTGGTTTTCCTGTCCTCTCTTTCCTCCCTGTCTCAAGAAGCATTGCAGAGCGTAAGGTGCTCACAGAGGCGGTGCCTGGATGGGGCAGGAGGGGGTCCTGACTTGGTCCCGCAGGGTGGCGCCTTGGCTCACCCCTCCACTCTCGTGTGCGTGTGTTAGTACCCACAGGTGGCCGTCCGCCTGCTAGTGCAGGAGGAGCTGTAGGCTGCATGCGTGTGCGTGCCAAGAGCCATTCGAGGTTCTATGTGCATGCGAGGCTGTGTGTAACGTGTGTCCAGACCTTACGAGGTACAATGGAGTGAAGGAACAGTGTGGCCCTTTGTTTTTGTCTGAAAGCAAGAATGAGCTGTCTGCCCCAGGCATGTGGCTCCTAGGATGGACAGGGTCCTTCTGGGTACCCATCCCCTGCCTGTTCTGCCTCCAGCAGAGTCCGGCATTGCACAGCCCACTCTCGCAGAATCTCCGGCCCTGGGGTTGCCCCACCAGCTTCAGTCCCGAGGGGGCTGGCCTGGTCTAGCCCCTCCTTGCTCTCCTGTGATGGGAATGGGCCCCTCCTCCTCCCTTAGGAAACCACCATCAGTGGCCTGACCCCGGAGACCACCTACTCCATTACTGTTGCCGCCTACACCACCAAGGGAGATGGTGCCCGCAGCAAGCCCAAAATTGTCACGACCACAGGGGCAGGTGAGTGAGGGTCAGGGCCAGAGCCGAGGGTGGGGCCATCAGGAGGGCAGGACCAGAACCCAGTGCGTGGTTGTTCAGTCCCAGGCCGGCCCACCATGATGGTCAGCACCACGGCCATGAACACTGCGCTGCTCCAGTGGCACCCACCCAAGGAGCTGCCTGGTGAGCTGTTGGGCTACCGGCTGCAGTACCGCCGAGCCGACGAGGCGCGGCCCAACACCATCGACTTCGGCAAGGACGACCAGCACTTTACAATCACTGGCCTGCACAAAGGGGCCACCTACATCTTCCGGCTTGCTGCCAAGAACCGGGCCGGCCCAGGCGAGGAGTTTGAGAAGGAGATCACGACCCCTGAGGACGTGCCCAGCGGTTTCCCCCAAAACCTGCGTGTGATAGGGCTGACCACGTCTACCACGGAACTGAGCTGGGACCCCCCGGTGCTGGCGGAGAGGAATGGGCGCATCACCAACTACACCGTGGTGTACCGTGACATCAACAGCCAGCAGGAGCTGCAGAACATCACTGCCGAGACCCACCTGACACTCTCAGGCCTCAGGCCAGACACCACGTATGACGTCAAGGTCCGTGCACGCACCAGCAAAGGCGCCGGCCCACTCAGCCCCAGCATCCAGTCCCGGACCATGCCCGTGGAGCAAGGTGTGTGCTGTGGGCACGTGGCTGCGCCTGGGGACCTCTGCTCTCCTTCACCCACTGACCTCTGGCGACTGTGATCCACTAGCCTCTGGTGTGTGACGCTCCAATCTCTCATGACCGTGACCACTAACCTCTAGCAAATGGGCCCCACATTCTCAGTGTGTGACCCCTGATCTCTGCTGTCCTTAACCTACTGACCTCTGCTGTGTGACTCTCCAATCTCTTGTGACCCTAACCCACTGATCTCTTTTGACTGCATCACCACTCTGGGGTACGCAATGCTAATCTCTCGGGGCCATGACCCCCTGATGTCTAGTGAACATGATCTGCTGTGCTTTCTGGTGTGCAGCCACATGCTGCTTGTGACCGAATCCCACTGACCTCTGATCACTCTGACCTGATATATATAAGTTCCAGCTTCACCCAAGCACTTCTGGAGATCCTGACCACGGGTCCTGCAGCGTCTGCCCCACTCTGTGCCCACTGTGAGGAGGAGCCGGAGCTGGGAGCTGAACTGTGCAGTTGAAGCTGGAAGGAGTAGGGGTGCCTGGTCCTCTGCAGCCGTTCCTAACCCTCTGCACTACCCCCACATCTCTTCCTGGGGAACCCCTTCAGGCCCATTCACCCCAGTTATGCAGTCAGAGCTGACTCCCTTCTTACATCCCAACAGTGTTTGCCAAGAACTTCAGAGTGGCGGCTGCCATGAAGACATCTGTGCTGCTCAGCTGGGAGGTCCCCGATTCCTACAAGTCAGCTGTACCCTTCAAGGTGGGTGAAGCCAGCCAGCCACGCCTGGCACACACGGAGTCCTGCTGTGGGCCCTCACTCTGGTCCCAGGCATGCATGCTGATGCCATGTGATGCCGGGTCCTGGTTAGGTGCGCGCATGTGCTATGGCTGCAGGCCTGTGATGGGAGGCCTCACCCAAACGTGCTGCCTGCCCTCTTGCCGGCAGATTCTGTACAATGGGCAGAGTGTGGAGGTGGACGGGCACTCCATGCGGAAGCTGATTGCAGACCTGCAGCCGAACACAGAGTACTCGTTTGTGCTGATGAACCGCGGCAGTAGTGCAGGGGGCCTGCAGCACCTCGTGTCCATCCGCACGGCCCCTGACCTCCTTCCACACAAGCCGCTGCCAGCCTCTGCCTACATCGAGGATGGCCGCTTCACGCTCTCCATGCCCCATGTGCAGGACCCCTCACTGGTCAGGTGAGCAGACGAGGCTTCAGGGGAGGCTGGCGATGCAAACACGGGCAGTGATGTTCCTGATTCCCACTCTGCCCGCCAGGTGGTTCTACATCATGGTGGTGCCCATTGACCGTGTGGGAGGGAGCATGCTGACGCCCCGGTGGAGCACACCCGAGGAGCTGGAGCTGGATGAGGTGCCTGGGGGCCATGCGAGGCAGCACTGGTGACAGTCCCATTGCAGTGGTTGGCAGTGGCCCCTGGGACTCCCTCAAACTGGAATCACTCTCTTGCTGGCTGCCTGCCCCCCTCTCAGGGGAGAGAGACTCTGAGTTGGCCCCTGAGAGCTGTTAGAGAACTCCTGGAGGGCTCACAGAGAATCCCCAGAGGGTTTGTGGAGGATCCCCTGGGGTGGGAAGTGGCAGAGACATCTCTGCAGAGTCTCGGGTCCTGCAAGCTTAGAGTCTCGAAGGCTTTGAGGCCACAGAGGGGTTAGAGTGGAGCCCCAACACATTTGGAACTCTCCGCCCTCTTCTCGCAGTGGTGTGGAACCAGCCCTCTCTGGTTAGGGTGACAGGCAGGTTACCTGGAGGGCCCCTTCTCACTGGGGTGGCTCAGGAAAGTGATTGTCATGTCTCGTGTCTGGCGTGATTCTACAAGCACAGTGGGGCAGGCCCCAGGCCCGGGAGCGTGTGCTGCAGGGCTCCGCGTGACTCCCGTGCTCTGCTCCATCAGCTTCTGGAGGCCATCGAGCAGGGTGACACGGAGCAGCAGCGGCGGCGGCGGCGGCGGCGGCAGGCAGAGCGGCTGAAGCCCTATGTGGCCGCTCAGGTGGATGTGCTCCCTGATACCTTCACCCTGGGGGACAAGAAGAGCTACCGGGGATTCTATAACCGGCCCCTGTCTCCGGACCTCAGCTACCAGTGCTTTGTGCTCGCCTCCCTGAAGGAACCCGTGGACCAGGTCTGCCTGAGACCCCAAGCCTGACCAGATAGCCCCCAGGCCAGTCTCAGACTCCCCAGAGGCCCCAGACCTGCACTAGGGGTCTCAAGGCACTAACCCCTAGGACCCAGAAGGCCAGACTTAATCTAACCCTAGGTGCCCAGTCAGCCAACCAAGCCCAGAGCCCTTTCTCCAGGTTTGTGGGGGCAGCGAGTGGGGGATCTCACCCTGAGCTCACTACCTGTGTTGTTCCTCCACCGGCCACAGAAGCGCTATGCCTCCAGCCCTTACTCCGATGAGATCGTGATCCAGGTGACACCAGCCCAGCAGCAGGAGGAGCCCGAGATGCTGTGGGTGACGGGCCCTGTCCTGGCGGTCATCCTTATCATCCTCATTGTTATTGCCATCCTCCTGTTCAAGAGGTGAGTGCTCCAGTGGACGGCCACCTGTCCCTGGACTCTCAGGCCCTCCCTGGGCCTAGGGCAGCCACACCTGGCCTGCACCTCAGAAGTGCACCCCTGGGGTCAGTGGGAAGCCAGGAAGAGCAGAAGCAGTGTGTGTGCACATGCATGGATATATACGGCATGATGAGGAGCCGAACCTTCACAGAGGGCTGATCACGTGCATCCTCGGGTATGTCTGTCTGTCCACCTCTGTGTTTCTGTGGATGTGAGCGTGTCTGTCTCTCAGCTTCAAGTCACCACCCTCTTCTGGTCTCCTATCTTCAGCTCCTCCTCCTCCACCATCCCTAGATGACTCCCCTGCCTGGCTGTCCTGCTCAGGCCTCAAGAGGTCCAGACCCAGCTGCAGGCCCACATGCCCTCAGACGTTCACTTGGCAGACATTTGTTCAGTGCTTGCTGTTAACTGCAGCCTGCACAGCTGTCCCAGCCCCAGGGTGTCTTGAACCTTCCCACACCCTCCCCCAGGGCCCCTATCCCAGGGGATGGGCCCATCCATTGAGTTACCAACCAGAAACCTGAGTGTCATCCTCACCCACCCCCATCGCACTCCACCCAGTCCCCCGGGAGTCCTGTCCTGACTATCACTGGACCTGCCCCCGCCATGGGCTCCTCACCAGGTAATGCACATGCAGGCATAGCTGGGTACCTGGCCCATGGCACGCCTCAGGCCTCTCTTAGTTGCAGCTCTTGGAGTCTCCCCTTTCTCTCCATCCTCCTCCAGGCCTGAAAGGTGTTTCCAAAGATTTACTTTGTCACTCAGTTTAAAACTTCTTAGCTTTAACTTCTTAGTTTTAACTATAGAGTTTTATAGCCTATCAATTGAATGTCTGGCTTGTCTGGCCACCACCACCACCGCCAGTGTTGTCACCAAACTCATGCAGCTCCAGGGCCAGCTCCAGCTGTGCCCTGCCCCACTCTGCAGCTCTCCCTGACCACCAGGCAACTGTCAGCTCATCCTTCAAGACTCCTTTCCAGGCTCTGGGGCCCTGAAGCTCTGCCAGGCCCCCAGCCCTCCCCAACACTGTTCCCACCATCGGGTGATGCTTCAGTGGGAACATTGTTAGACTGTCCACGAATGCTTGTTGGTCCATATGTCTGAATGCATCTCTGCATAGGAGTTCTTGTGCCCAGTCTCTCCCCGGCCCTGACCCTGAGCCTTGACCTGGACCCAATGTCTCCTTCCTGAATTAGCTCCTTCCTCCCAGGGTGAATAGGGACAGGCTCTCCTGGTTCTCCTGGAGACGGCTGCAGGAAGAACCTGAGGAGGGTCCCACATACACCCCCACCTTCCCTCCACTTCTGTCTGGGTCCTGGTGTCTGCCAGGAGAGGCGACCCTCCCTGTGAATGCCACGTGTGTGCTATAGCTCAGTCTTGCAGTGTCTTCCGGTCATGAGAAGGCCTGAGTGCTTGACAGAAACAATGACCGTTCCTTTCTTCTGTCCTTGCCTGTCTTTCGGGACCTAGTAAACAAGAAAGGTAGGAGTCCTTCCTTCTCTCTTCACATGCCTCCCCTTTCACTTCTTACCCCATGCACATGGCGGGCCCCGCAGGGAGGGGCAGTGCTTTGACTGGAAGCCTTCAGGCCTGTGGCTGTCTGGCAGCTCGGCAGGCAATGGGGCAGGCTCTGTCACCCTCTCCACCAGTACCCTGCACAGGGGATGCCCCTTCTCTAGGGCACAGGCAGCACAGACCTCCGATGCTTCCCCTGCGTGCACAGACTGACTGAGCTCACCGGAGCCTTGCCCCTGGCTCCCAGTTCTCTGAGATTACCTTAGCGCTGCAAGAGACAGAGTCTGGCCTGGGTGCAGAGAGTGCTGGCCGCAGAGCACGGGGAAGGGTGTGCTACTCCACACTCGGGCACACTCTTACAAGTTCTCCCTCCCCAAGCACACCTGTGTCCATCGAGCAGAAGCGGCCCCTGGATACTTGTCAGCACTGGACCCCGTAGTCTGTGTCTGATCCTGTCCTTGTAGACTGGGGAGCTGAAGCCAGGAAGGGAGGACTCTGCCTGGCTAGGGTGCCGCCTTCCCCGTCCCTCCCCTGCTGCTCTGTGCATTTACCCTGATACTGACAGCCAAACGGCTAGGGCCCAGCTCTCTGATGTTTGCATATCTTATGTATCATTTGCATGTTTCTTCTTGGTGGCTCCTGCTTCCTCAGCTGTGGGGGCCTTGTGGACAACAGCCACTGCCTAGCAGTGACCTGCTGTTCATGCGAAAGAGCCGCCAGCCTCTGTGACCCCTTCCTTTCCCGCTGCACTGGCCCTCTGTGGACTTCCCACTCCTGCTGTCTTCCCACCCCTACCTGTATTCTCTCATGTGAAGCTGCTCTGGCCCTGGCTCCCCTGTGCTCAGAGACCCCAGGCTGGGGTGGGGTAAGGTGGGGAAGAGCTGTGGACACAGAGGCTCTGTGGCAGCCAGCCATGCCATGCGTCTCTGACCTCCCCCTGGACCTCGGTTCTCACCAACCACCCTTCTGCCTCTGCAGGAAAAGGACCCACTCTCCATCGTCCAAGGATGAGCAGTCAATTGGGCTGAAGGACTCCTTGCTGGCCCATTCCTCCGACCCCGTGGAGATGCGGAGGCTCAACTACCAGACCCCAGGTAGGACGGCTCCCCACACCTGCCTGCCCACTGCCTGCCCCCTGCCCAGGCTTGAGGTCTCCACCAAGGCCCCCTGGCCTCTGCCTGGTCCCTACTTCCTATTCCTCCCTTCTGCCTTTCTCCTGGTATCCACCTACTTTGTTGAAGTGACCAGGGAACCCCTGGGGGTGGTGGGGCAGCTGCTTGGGCACTGCCTCATTTTTTGTCAAGCTCTCCAAACATGGGCCAGGGAACAATGGCCCACAGAGCCCGCATCCCAGCACAGGGTACCCAGCCTCTGTGTCTGCACTCTGGCCTCTGCACACAAAAGAGGGCTTTGTTGGTGGCAAATGGCCCATTGGACACGTGGTGGGATGGGGTGCTGGCACCTGACCCTTCCTGGTGGCTCGCCCCAGATTTTCCATGCAAGCACAGGGCTTGGTGTCTGCCCTTCTTGCCCCACCACTCACGTGGCTCTCTGGCTGTTCCTTCTACCTGAGGTGTTGCTCCCTCCCCCGTGCCCCAGTAACACAGCTCAGACTTCTTCCCCGGGGTGGGGTGGGGGGGAATCTCTGCTCGGCTCCCAGATGCTTCTTCCATCATGGCACCTCTCACCCTGGGCTGGAATTGCCTCTGTGGCAGTCTGAGCTTTGGGGAGCTGGGAGCTGTGTCTTATTCCTCCACCATCTCCTGTCTTGTGCTCACGGAGCGTTCTTGTTGAATGCCTGGGAAGCAGACACAGACAGCTGAATGAGTGAGTGAACTAACATACACAGGGTTTGTGTGCACACGAGCTAGTTAATTGCTGCATACTAAATTACCCCAAAACTTCGTGGATGAAAACAACAACAATTATGTACTATTCTCACAGTTTTTGTGAGTCAGAAATTCAGACAGGAGCATAGCAGGAGTGGCTTGTCTCTGTTCCAGAATGTCTGGGCTCTCAGCCGGAAGACTCAAAGGCTGGGAGCCAGAATCATTTAAACCAGGGGTCAGCGAACTATGACCCTGGGCCAAATGCGACCCACCACCTGTTTTTGCAAATAGAGTTTTATTGGAACACAGCCACATCTGTTCATTTATGTATATTGTCTGTGACTGTTTTCACACTACAAAAGCAGAGTTAAGTAGATATGATAGATACCATATGTCTACAAAGCCAAAAATATTTACTACCTGGCCTTTTATAGAAAAGTTTGCCAGCCCCTGAATTCTGGAGATACATTCATTCTTGTGTCTGGTGGTTGACGCTGGAGTTGGCTATGAGCGCACTGGGGTTTTTGGCTGTGACAACCACGTAAGGCCTCTTCCTGTGGCCTGGGCTCCCCCATAACATGCTGACTTGAGTTCCAAGGGCGCATGTCCTGAGAGCGAGCAAGCCAGGCTGACCTAGCAGACTGTTGCAGCCAGACATGCTCAGATCTACGAGGAACCAAAGCTCCAGGATGCTGGGGCCTGGAGGGCAGAGCTGCCTCCTCTGAGAGGGGATGCTAACCTACATTAGCGGGCAGAGTGGGTGGGAGGGAGCACCCTTTGTGGAAAGCAGCTCGGGGCGCCGTGTTCTGTGGCGCTGGAGTTGAGGATGTTGAGAGCCTAGAGAAGAGACTGGAGGATTAGGCCAGGGTCCAGTCATAGAGGAACCTGGGTGCCAGGCTACAGGGTTTGGACTTCATCTTGAGAGCTCCAGGAAGACATTAAAGGTTTTTTAGCAGGGGCTAGTTGGGCAGAATTGTGCTTTAGAAGCATCGCTCTGGCTGCCGTGGGGAAGACAGATTGGAAGAGGAGAAGGTGGGGAGGCAGACTATTGAGAAGGTGCAGAGGACTTGGACGAGGTGGGTGGCGGAGGGAAGAGGTGTGCTTGGGAAGCATTAGGGAGGCAGGAACAGCAGGGCTGGGCTTGATTCCACATAGAGTGAGGAAATGGGGGCGGGGACGCCAGGCTTGCTCCATGGTTGCTGGCTGAGCGGTGGGTTGGGAGGGTCCAGGGGGCAGCTGGATCTTAGGGTCTGGACCTCTGCACCGACATCCTGGCTGGAGCCACAGGCACAGGAGGTGCCTAGGAACTCAACGGTGGTCAAAGCCTGGGAATGGCTCTCCCAGGAGAAGAGGAGGAGGGGGAAGAGCAGCCGGGGAAGGAGGTGGAATGTTGAGGAAGGATGGATGAAATGTAGCCAAGGAGGGGAAGGAGGGAATAGGAGTGTCCCTGAAGCCAGGCAGGGAGGGCTGTTCGAGGGGGGGCCCAGATGGAGGACTTTGGCATTGAGGACGTTGGCGAGCCGTGGCGGCCGAGTCCTGGGGGTAGGAGCATTTAGATGGATTGAGGCGGCCAGTGGGGAATGAGCAAGTGGGTGTGAGAGCTGGCCCGGGCCTGAACCCCTGTGGCTACTGCAAGGCCAGGGGAAATGGCAGGGGTCTGAGAGGAGAAAGCGGAGTGGAGAGGCCTGAGACGGTGTTTAAAAGGGTTGGGGTTCCAAAGGACGGGATGCTGTGGCCGGGGCAGGCCATGGGGAGGGGCACCGTGAGGGTCCCACAGGTGTTGAGATCAGGGCACGAGGCTGCTAGCGGGAAGAGGCGTCCTGTGCACAAAGGCGGCCCCGGGGCATTAACCAGTGACCAGAAGCTACGATGGGCGGTGGGGGCAGACAGCGAGGATGGCAGTGCTGTCCACGGCTGAAGGTTTCCTTTTTTTCAGTTTAGCAAACGTTTGTAATTTCTTTTGTAGTTTAACTTTTATCCTGAAAATGCTTCCAACGCGGATAAAAGCTGAAAGCAATACAGTCCTCCACTGCACGTCCTCCTATAGATTCACCCTTTCATTTCTCGCCACATGTGCTTCATCTCTCTATAAAAGCACATTTACCTTTTGCCGAATCATCTGGAAATAGCCACGGTCAAACTTTGATACCAGGGAGCACAAGGGTTGGTTTGAACCTAGAATTTAGTCATAGAGGCCCCCTGAGGCCGCCCAAGCTCTGGGTGGGAGATGTGTCTGCAGGGAGGGCCTGCCCCTCCCGAGCCCTCAGCCCCTCACTGTGTCCAACAGTGACCTAACCAGAGGTTAATGGATTTCATTCTCTTGCCCCGTTGTTTTTGTTCTTTCCTTCTGCAGGTTCCAGTGTCCCCAGTTGCCCGAATATCTCAAGTTAGTTTTCCACGTTCCCGTGTTTGGGGCCCACTCCAGCTTCTGTGTATTTCCTCCGCTGCTCTCACCTGTCACCTCTCTCCTTCTTGAGTTCTTCTCTCCCCTTTCCTCATTCTTCTCCCCCTTCTTGCTGTCTCCTGCCCTTTCCTTCTCCATCCCTCTCTCTCCCCACCTTGCTCCCTTCCTCCCCTATTTTCCCTCCCACCTATCTCTGCCTCTCTCTCCTCTGGCCTCATTCTGACACTTTTCTGATGCCTCTTCTGCCTCCCTGTCTCCTTCTCCTCTCTGCTTCTCTCTCCAAGTTCTTCCACGTCACTCTGCCATGTACGTCATGATCGCTCCATCCACATGCTGGGCGCTGGGATAGTAATGTCACAGAGCCTCCCATGGTGACTGGCGCCAGTGAGGGGCAGGAGTGCTGTCCAGAGGCAGGGCCCGCGGGCAGGGCACAGGCTGAAGCAGCCCAGTTCCATCCTGTCCGCTGCTCTCAACCTAGGCTTCCGGCTCCGGAAGTCTCCCATCCCCATTGAGAACCTGCCGCTCAGCACTGTGTCACATGGACATGCTCACACATGCTCACGGCACACACACACTTCCCTCCCTGTCCTCTCCCACCCCCTGCCACCGTGTGCCCTGCCATCCCTGTCGCCGCATGTACTGCTCTCCATGCCACCAGTGCCAAGTGCTCCATGGTCACACGTGTTCACATGTGCATATCCATGCATCGGGGCTGTCTCCACCACTGCACTCAGGCTTCACGCTAACTCTGCCTGTATGTGCCCCCGCCCCTAGGTATGCGAGACCACCCGCCCATCCCCATCACTGATCTGGCAGACAACATCGAGCGCCTCAAAGCCAACGATGGCCTCAAGTTCTCCCAAGAATACGAGGTGAGTCATCCTCATCCTGAACCCCTGCACATGCCTGGTCCAGGCATGGCCCTGTGGCGGCTCCTCTCCCATCTCAGCCCCAGCTGTGGGAGGGGGACTCCAGGCTTCCCCAGAGGACAGAATGGAGAAGTCAGCTGTAGCAAGCGGGGAACTCAGCTCCTCAGGTGCTGGAGCTGGCTGAGGCTCCCCAAGCACCCTAGGTCAGGACACTCAGACACATGCCTCAAAGCTAACAGTCAGACAGGAGGTCACACACACACATAGATGAGTAATCAGCCGACATTTATGGAGAGCTCCCTGTGGGCTGACGCCAGGCTAGGCACTGGGCATGCATCACCTCATTCTGTCCTCCCCACAGTCCTGTGAAGTGTGTGCAGGTGTTATCCCATCTTACAGACAAGACGCTGAGGCTCCGAGAGAGGAAGTGACTTGCCTGAGGTCACACAGCTGATGCATAGTGGAGACTGTCTTGACAGCCCGGGCCCCACACGTGTGTGTGTTCACGGGTGTTCTCAGAATGCAGATCACAGAGATGGGGGGGGTCAGGGCTTGAGTCTTGCTGCACAGACCCTCATGCTCAGGGCCCTCCAGGTGTTCCTTCACTCTGGACTCGACCCTACCTACCTACCGACCAGGGCTCAGACTTGTGAGCGCTGCTGCTCCCTCACCTGCAGTCAGGGCTTCCAGGCCCAGCAGGGGAGGCACTTTGCTAGTGAAGGAGGTATTAAGGAGGTGATAATGAGAGCCCTGCCTCCTCTAAGGATCACAGATGGAAGCGCAGATGTTGTTAAGGCATTTTCTGCCTCAGCCCCTACTAGTCCCCCTGCCTCCAGCGCAGGCCTGGCACAGGGGTCTTGGTGGATGGATAGGTGATCGATGGGCTGGCCCAGCGCCGCCTGTGAGTCAGATGCACACCCTCGGCTGTGCACGGTATCCTGGGAAGCTTCCCTTCCAAGGGCTGTGGGCCAGGTCCCGCAGAGGAACTGGAGCTTGGCAGGCGAAATGGTGAGCATGTCTGCTGCGAGAAGAGTGTGCTGCCGCCCCCTGTAGAGCGCCCTCGCACTCGGGGGCCTGCTCTGCACAAGGCCCTGCTGCGAGGGGGACAGAGCGGTGAGTTGGGCCCCCTGCTTTCAGTCCCTTATCTGGCCCGGAAGGCCTCACGTGGTCTTCTACTCACTCACCTAGTTCCACGTCCCACATCCTCCCGATTGGGCTCTGTGCCTCACTGTCTAGGCTCACGGAGTCCCCCTTCCACCTTCTCCTCCAGCCTGAGCTTTGCTTCAAGACCCTCCTCCTCCAGGGAGCCTTCTCTGGCCCTGGCCAGCCTGCCGTGAGCTTTCCCTCAGCCAGGATCCCATAGCTCTGTTACTTTGAACTGTCAGTCAGTCCTCACGCATAGTCCAACATCTACCCTGTGCAGGGTGCTGGGGGCAGGGAGGGCTGGTGGGGAGACAGCGCACACAGGTAAACTGAGTGTGACGACGTGCCCCAATGCAGACATGCGGAGAAGGTGAGCTGGTGGCACCGACGCAGGCTGGGGCGGGTGTGCTGGGGGCATTCATGGAAGTGGTGCTCACTGTCCTGTGGAGGATGATGGGGCAGCGCCAAAACATGGAGGGCATTATGCGCTGCTCTGAGAGCCCTGGGCTGTGTTCCTCTGTGAAAGGGGGATGGTAATAGAACCAGTTTCTTGGGAGGATTAGATGAGAGAATACATGCAGAGTGCTTAAGACAGTGCCAAGCACTCCGTAAGTTTTCACTAGGACTCAGCTGTTATTATTGTCCCCTAGGTGATGCGGGGCCGTGGAAGGCAAGAAGCAGGGAACTTGATGATCAGATCTGCATTTACAAGGGGTGTTCCGGCTGCAGGACTGGGTAGGGCAAAGTGAAGAGGCAGGGAGATGCCAAGTCTGAGCGGGAGGGTGGCTTTGCTGAGGCCCTGGCAGCAGGTTGGAGAGAGCCAAGGGGTGGGGTTGCTCCGGGACATGGGTTCTGATGGGACGCGGCACAGAGGAGTTTTGAAGACGATTTGCAGGTTCCGGCCTGGGCTTTTGGGTAAATGAGGCCATTGCCCTTCACCGAGATGGAGTCCTAGCAGCAGAACTAGGTTTGCAGGGAAAGCTGATGAGCTCAGCTTGGTAAAGGTTGAGATGGAAGGGCTGCAGGATGTCCAGGTGGGGATGTCCAAGGGGCTGTTGGCTGTTCGGATCAGGAGCGTGGAGGAGACACGGGTTGTGGCAGTGCTAGCACGTGGGTGTAAGTCCTGAGAGCAAGCAAACTCCCCCAGGAAAGGTTGCAAAGAGGAAAGAGGGCCCGAGAATTCACCAGGAGAAGCGCCGTGTCCTGCCCATGGGAAGGAACAGCCAGAGAGAGAGGAGGAGAGCTGGGCAAAGCCATGCAGTGGTGTCCAAGCCCCGGCAGTGCCAGCCACTGTTGCTTCATCTTGCTCTGCATCGTGCATTAGCTGGGTGCAGGGTTTGGGGACTTCCCTGACTCCCACCCCACCCCGACCACTCTTCTGGGCAAGGGAATTTGGGACCTCTGTTAGAGGAGTCTTTGGTCCATCGTCTTGCTGACAGGTGCCATGGCAGCCTTTGCGCTTCTTGGTGGGGTGGCCAGTGCACAGCCTTACCAGCTCTATGGGACAGAGCGGCTGGCTGTGGCCCAGGAGTGAAGGCAGGCTGTGGGCACCACCTGAAAGGCTGGGTTGCCTTGGGGGCACTAGGTAGAACTCAACTCTTGTGCTACTTGACCGGCCTCCTCCATTTCCTGCAGTCCATTGACCCTGGACAACAGTTCACATGGGAGAATTCAAACCTGGAGGTGAACAAGCCCAAGAACCGCTACGCCAATGTCATTGCCTACGACCACTCTCGAGTCATCCTTACCTCCATCGATGGTGAGCCGCAGGCGGGGCCCCTTCCCACCCCCTTGCTCTCCTCTCTGGGGTGACATTTCATCCTCCAGAAGCAGCCCACGGGTTCCAGGGCACACTGAGGTACGGTGGGCTTGGTTGGAAGCCCCAGGATAACGCCTTCCCACATCCCTTCCTGTCTGTAGGTGTCCCGGGGAGTGACTACATCAATGCCAACTACATCGACGGCTACCGCAAGCAGAATGCCTACATTGCCACGCAGGGCCCGCTGCCCGAGACCATGGGTGATTTCTGGCGGATGGTGTGGGAGCAGCGCACAGCCACTGTGGTCATGATGACGCGGCTGGAGGAGAAGTCCCGGGTAAGACTGGGCAGTGCCCTGCTTGGCAGTGGAGGCTGAGGGGAGGGGCTACTCAGCCATCAGGTGACTTTGGGCCCCTTTTCATGTCCCTGTGGGAAGAAGTTCCTCAAGGGACGTGCCAAGTACTATTGCATTCCTGGGGTGTCGTCATATCCCAGTTGCTGGGTGTTCCTGGGATGTGGCGTGTTCCCCAGACCCTAGTGGGCTCCTGACATGTTCATATGTTGCACCAGGTGCTGTCATTTTTCAAGAATATTAGTAGGTTCTCCCGTCGCTGGCGTGTTCCTGGGATGTTCATGCCTTCCCCAGATGCTGGAGTGTTGCTGGGGCATTAACACATCCCCTAAGTTAATTAGTGGAAAGAGCTGTTCTTATCTGCTTCTACACAGCAAAGCATCGACTGGAACGTAAAATTTACAGAGCTTGAAAGTGGCGTATAAACGTTATGGGTAAATTTGGCAGAAAATGTGCCTGGTGCGATCTGGTCATGAATAAATAATTTTCAGTTATGGCCCTCGTTCCCCTCCGAGGGCAGGGGTGGCAGTGTAGCGAGAGAAGCTGATATGGTTTGGTGAGGGATGGTGTGATGGATCTGAGAGTTTGGGGCAGGGGGGCCTCGTAGCTGGGTAGGCTGGACCTTCCAGCCTGCCTCCACCCTGGACCCTGCCCGTCTGAGCTTTTGGGTACCTCCAAACACCCTTGCACCCTGCCCGGCTGTCCCTCTGCAGGTGAAGTGTGATCAGTACTGGCCGGCTCGTGGCACCGAGACCTACGGCCTCATTCAGGTGACCCTTTTGGACACAGTGGAGCTGGCCACGTACACTGTGCGCACCTTTGCGCTCCACAAGGTGCGGCCCTGCCCTGGTGTTTGTCCCCCGCCCTCCCAGGCCCTGTTAGGACAGTGGTCTGAGCATGGTGGTATGCTGGGGGGAACCCAATGTTGGAGTTCGGGGCTTGGAGGTGTGAGTGGGCTGTGGTGGCCAGAGCCAGGATGGGATGGACGGAAGCAGCACCGTGAGCTGCTTCAGGCTGCTCTGTGTGAGTCCCATCAGAGCACAGGGTCTGGCCTCTGCGTCAGGGCATCCTGCCCCAAGTCTGCTGTAGGAACACTCCCTGGGTCACACCGTCTCCCCCACCATCCTCCCCAGAGCGGCTCCAGTGAGAAGCGGGAGCTGCGTCAGTTCCAGTTCATGGCCTGGCCAGACCACGGAGTTCCCGAATACCCAACCCCCATCCTGGCCTTCCTGCGTCGGGTCAAGGCCTGCAACCCGCTGGACGCGGGGCCCATGGTGGCGCACTGCAGGTAAGGAGGCACCGCACCCCAGGGAGGTAGGGGCGTGGAGGCGGTGGGGGGCCTCTGCCCAGGCTGAGCCCATGTCCTGCAGCGCGGGCGTGGGCCGCACGGGCTGCTTCATCGTCATCGATGCCATGCTGGAGCGGATGAAGCACGAGAAGACGGTGGACATCTACGGCCACGTGACGTGCATGCGGTCTCAGCGGAACTACATGGTGCAGACCGAGGACCAGTATGTGTTCATCCACGAAGCGTTGCTGGAGGCCGCCACATGTGGACACACAGAGGTGCCCGCCCGCAACCTCTATGCCCACATCCAGAAGCTGGGCCAAGTGCCTCCTGGGGAGAGTGTGACTGCCATGGAGCTCGAGTTCAAGGTGGGCTCAGGGCCTGGACTGGGTCATGGGGATGATTTCCCCCTGGAAGCCAGGCCTGACCAGCCCCTCCCTCTCACTAGCTGCTGGCCAGCTCCAAGGCCCACACATCCCGCTTCATCAGCGCCAACTTGCCCTGCAACAAATTCAAGAACCGCCTGGTGAACATCATGCCCTATGAACTGACCCGTGTGTGTCTGCAGCCCATCCGCGGCGTGGAGGGCTCTGACTACATCAATGCCAGCTTCCTGGATGGCTATAGGTCAGCATGCTTGGAGAAGTCCACCATACCCATGGGTGGCTAGGCCTGTGCCTGACTGGCTAGGAGTGCAACAGAGTAGGGCCAGCCTGGAAGACCAGGGTGGGCTTCCTGGAGGAGGGGTGATCTGAGTGGGCCCTGAGGGACTAGGCAACCATGGGGAGACTCTGGGGGCAGCAGCACCTCCAGCATGTCCAGTCTTATGTCCACCCCAGACAGCAGAAGGCCTACATAGCCACACAGGGGCCTCTGGCAGAGAGCACCGAGGACTTCTGGCGCATGCTTTGGGAGCACAACTCCACCATCATCGTCATGCTGACCAGGCTTCGGGAGATGGGCAGGGTGAGCCCACCCCCGGGGTCCCCCTGGTACCTGGGAGCACACCAGCCACCCCTTCACTATCGTCTCCTTCACGTCCCAGCCCCATCAGTGTAGTCTCAGACCCCATTATCACCACCTGCAGCATCCCGCCTCGAATCCTCTGAAACTCGGAACTCCCTTCCCCTCTTCCTCCCCACCTGACCGTGGGGCTGGGCCCTTTGTCCACAGGAGAAATGCCACCAGTACTGGCCCGCAGAGCGCTCTGCTCGCTACCAGTACTTTGTTGTTGACCCGATGGCTGAGTACAACATGCCCCAGTATATCCTGCGTGAGTTCAAGGTCACAGATGCCCGGGTAAGTGTGGACAGGGAAGTGTGCGTATTTGCGAAAGCATGTCTGTAACATTGCCTGAGCCCCTGTGGAGTGGGTACTGCCTACATGGTGCCTACAGCTCAACCCACAGGAATCTGAGGTGAGGTGTGGAAGCAAGAGCCCATTTCCCAAGGTGGCCTCAGTGTAACAACTTCAGGGGGCTTACCTGTGCTGCTGTGCCACCCCCTTGGCTTGGGGGGGCTGTTGCCTGAGGCTCAGCCCTGACCCCACCCCCTGCTGCCTCTCCAGGATGGGCAGTCGAGGACAATCCGGCAGTTCCAGTTCACAGACTGGCCGGAGCAGGGTGTGCCCAAAACGGGCGAGGGCTTCATCGACTTCATTGGGCAGGTGCACAAGACCAAGGAGCAGTTTGGGCAGGACGGGCCCATCACGGTGCACTGCAGGTGGGGCCAACCCTGTGGAGGGCTGGGCGGCTGGGGGTCCTGGGGGCCCAGGGACAGGGGCCCTGACCCAGCGTTGTCCTTGGGCAGTGCCGGTGTGGGCCGCACCGGGGTGTTCATCACACTGAGCATCGTTCTGGAGCGGATGCGCTATGAGGGCGTGGTTGACATGTTCCAGACCGTGAAGACCCTACGCACACAGCGCCCAGCCATGGTGCAGACAGAGGTACGTAGGCTGCTGGCCATGCAGGGACCGGCTCCTCCTCATAGGCACGTGCCACCACCGGCACTGACCACTGCCTGCTTTGCCTGAGGCGCTGGGGTAGGGTGAGCCAAATGTGCTCCCAGTGGTGTGCCTGGTTCCCGGCTAAGGTTGGACATACACTCCTTATGGGGTGCACAGTCTAGTGGCAGATTGGGGTGTCAGGGAAAGCCTGGAGCCGATGTGTGGGTCCAGCCCCTGCTCTTGGCCAGCAGAGGCAGGGGCTAACTCCATAGCCCACTGGCTGCAACACAGATGCTCTTGGCAGTGTGTTGGGGGTGTCCACTGGCACTGCTCACACTGACCAGCCCTCTGTCCCGGCAGGACCAGTACCAGCTGTGCTACCGCGCGGCCCTGGAGTACCTCGGCAGCTTTGACCACTATGCAACGTAACTACCGCCCCCTCTCCTCCGCCGCCCCCACCTGGGGGCACTGGAGGGGACCCAGCTCCTCTGAGCCATACCGACCATCGTCCAGCCCCCCTGCATGGATGCTGTTGCTGGCAGAGCACAGCCCACTGGGATCACAGCGTTTCAGGAACATTGCCACACCAAATGGAGAGCCCAGAACTCCCCCAGGCAAGGGGGTGGGCCGGGCAGGCAGGCGCCCGGCCGTCTCTGTCCACCAAGCCCGCCCCAGAGCCACTTTGAGCTCTCTGTTCCGCTGCCGCGTTTCTCATGCTTCTCGTGGGGGGGATGGGAGCAAAGCCTCCTTTTTTATACATTGAGTGGGGTAGACAGGGATTCTAGCCTCTTCCCTCTGACTTTTCCTTTTGCAAATTCTTAACTGCAGAATGGGCTGCTGTGGGGGTTGGGGTGTAGTTTTCTGTTTAGTTCATTCTGGATCCTTTTTTGTATGACTCTTACTGCTGAAGGACGGAGCGTGCCTTCCTCGTGTGTGTGGAGCTGGGGCCGCCAGCCTGAGCGGAGGCATCGCTGATCCGGCTGCTCTTCCAGCCCGTCAGACGAGATCCTGTTTCAGCCAAATGCAGGGAAACAATTTTTTTTTTTAAAGTTCTGTCGTGTTTTTCCTTGAGAGCCTTATTTTAGGCCCCACAGTGGTGGGCGGGGAGGAGATAGGAAACGCTCACCCCCAGTCGTCTATTCCAGTGTGTGTTTAACATTCACAGCGCAGAACCACAGACGTGTCTGGGGCAGCCGGGCAAGGCGTTCCTCATCACCATTGTGTTTGCAAAGGTTAAAAATAAAGCAAAGACAAAAAAACAAACAAACAAAAAATTAAAAAAAAAAAAAAAGAAAACCCAAGAAAAAAAGAGAGTCATCCCCTGGCTGTGCATCAGACCTCCAAGAGGGGAGGTGGCTCTGTGCTCCTGGGCTTCCCGGGGAGCTGCTGGGCTGACCTCTGGGCCCGTGGAGCCTGGATTTTGTCCCCAGCATTGCAGTGTGGCGTGGTGTCGGTTGGCTGTGGGTCTGGCCGTGGGGCCAAGGTGATCAGTGCTGGCCGGGGTGTGTGCCATGCCCCCCCCACCTCAGGGCCAAGCAGGGGTGCAGCTGGCCCTTCAGGTCCAGGCCAGTGGGCCTGGTAGCACATATCTGCCCCCAGAGTAGGGCCAGATGACTTCCCTCCCTGGTTTGCAGCTGTTTTGCAAAGCCCCTGAGAATCGCTCTTTTCCACTCCTTCGAGATGCCCTCATAAACCAATGTGACAAGACTACTGGACTTCTCTCAATGGTACTATAATCAATCCTTATTATCTCGGCTTGCTGGGGGCAGGGAGAGGGCCTCTTCCTCTGGGCAGCACTATCTAGATAGGTAAGTGGGGGCGGGAAGGGTGTATAGCTGTTTTAGCCGAGGGGCGCGAGGTGGACATCCCCAGGTTAGCTAGGCTGTCAAGATCAACAATCCAGGGTTGGTAATGTTGAATGAGACATTCATTTTTACCTTGTGGATGCTAGTGCTGTAGAGTTCACTGTTGTACACAGTCTGTTTTCTATTTGTTAAGAAAACTACAGCATCATTGCATAATTCTTGATGGTAATAAATTTGAATAATCAGATTTCTTACAAACCGGACCTCTGTCTCAGCTCTTTCTGGAACTAGAGTCTGGGCTCTGTAAGTCAGTCCTTAGGGGTGGGTTCTGCAGGTTCCCTGCTGCTCGGGAGACAGTGAAGCTGTCCCAGGGATCTGTGAGAAGACAAGCTCCCACTTGGGTGTCATGCCCACTTTCAGATAGGAGCCTCAAGTCTGAGCCGCCAGTGTATGTGCGGAGCGCCCGGCAGGACCCAGCTGCCAGGGACCCTCTGCCTCTCTTCACCCTCACCATGTTCTGGGTCGCCATGTCAGGGGTACTGGGCTCCCTGAGCCACATCCCCCTCTCCCCCTCACCTCCCCCCTCTCCTCCTTCCTTGCTATAAGGAGAAGCATGGCTTTGTGGCACAGAGGCCAAGACAGGATGAAAATTGGCTAGTGAGGACTCTTGTCATTCTAGTAAAGTAGGTACTGGACACACAGCAACATCTGCAGGAGCCTTTCTGCTGGTCATCAGTCAAGTCCTACCAGGTTGTCAAACCATGGAACTTCTGGGGACAAGAGATGAACAAGACCCAGAACGAGTGGGGAAGAGAAATAATACATGTAGTCAGCAATGACCAGCCTGGAGAGAGTGTCCTGATGAGCACAACACAGAGGTGCTGTGGGTGCACTGAGGCAGCACCTCTCCCTGCGACGGGATCAGGGAAGTCTTCCTGGAGGAGGTGACATAAACTGGATCCTGAGTGCTTCATAGGGTGAGTAGGGGTTGCTTTCAAAAGGTGGGAGAAGCATTTCTGATGGAGAGAGCAACTTGTACAAAGGCTTGGAAGCATGAAACAGATCAACAAACATGAGAAACTACAAGGAGCACATATGACTGAGCTAGAGACCTAAGGTGAGAGAGGTTAGCTAGAAGCAGCTAAGGGGACTGTGAAGGGGGTGCAGGTGTCCCTGCTGGGTGACGGGCCTCTGTAATGTGCTGTGCCACCAACATCGTGGCTCTAGCGGACTCCAGTGTTGCTAGCTGTCTTCTTGGGGGCTGTGAGTGACCAAGGCCTGGGCTCAGGGCTCTCCTTGGTTTCCCAGCTCCTAGCTCAGTGCCTGGCATATTTCTATTCATTAAGTAAAACACCATCGCTGCTTTATGCTTGATGGTATTAAATTTGAATAAATGTTTGCTAAATTAAAGAATGAGTCATTAGGGATTTTCAAGTGAGGGATAAATATCAGATTGTCACCTGAGGAACAACAGCATAGGAACTGCACCAGGCAGGCTCTGCGCACACTGCTTTAGGGACATGAGTAGACCCTCTTCTCCCCACAGATGAGACAGGGTGATGGAGATTAAAAACCTGGTCAAAAACCACAGGGCAGGTGCGCAGCAGAGCTGGGACCCATGCCTAGTTATGGCTGCTCCAGAGCCCCTGCCCTTTCCATGGACTGGTGTCAGCCCCCCTCCCTTCACTGTCATCCCTCAACCCTGCTCCTCCTCCCGGGCACCCCATCACAGTGTATGGCACCCCCCCACCCACCGGTTCCCCACTCAGACCTCTTTTCCTCACCACCGCATTCAGGTGATCACCGCACCCTGCCCATTTGGCCTCCTCCTGCACCTGCTCCGTTCTCTGCATTTCCAGTGTTTCTGTCCCCTCTTCTGCCTGGACTGCTGCTCTGCCTGCCCCAGCACTGCAGCCAGTGATTCTATTGGCAGATGTGACCTGATGAGACCATGCCAAGACCTCCTAGCCAGCCCAAAATCCTCGGGTTTCTGAGGCTGCGGGACCCGGTTTCTGCAGCCTCCTCTCCCGTCCCTGCCCCCGCTCCCCCCATCATGACCCAGTCTACTCTTTACCTTTTGTGCCTACCTCATCATTCTCTCAGCTTCAGACCTTCACACAAACTATTCTTCTGGAACATTCTCCCCCACCTCTCTAGCTGGCTAGCTCCTGGTCGCTAGGTTTCCGCTGAAATAATTCTTTTAAAAGCCATCCTGAACCATCCTAAATGAGGTTGGCTGACCCTGCTGTGCAAGTAACCTGAAATATTTGTCCTGTCATTCTCACAACAAGGTGGGGGGGGGGTGGGTCCTATTATGCCCATTTTGTAGATGGGAAAATTAGGTCTCACCCACTCAGTCAGTACTTGTCGAACATCTGCCATGGGCCAGTTGCATCAGTGTGAAGACTTCTGCCCATGCAGTGTTTATACTCTGGTGGGAGGGAAAATGGTTCACATGAAAAGTAATAAATAAATAAATGTATATGTAGTTTGTCAGAAAGTGATGTGTCATGAGGGGGGAAATCAGAACTGGAGGGGTCAGGCACATAGGGAAGGTTAGATTATTAATCGGGGTGGTCAGAAGAAGCCTCATTGAAAAGATGGGATTTGAGGCAAGACTTGAAGCTGGTGAGGGATTTTGCCTAAACGTCTTCGAGATGAGCATCCAGGCTGAGGGCACAGCCAGAGCAGAGGCCGGGGTGCGAACGTGCCAGGAGGGTTGAGGCAGGTGTGGCCATGACACTGGGAGCAGGGGTGAGAGCAGCGGAGGTGAGGTCAGAGGAAACAGGGCAGCTCCTACGCCAAGGGAAAGATTTGGGCAGAAATCCAGGTCTGGTAAGTAGGGCCCAGATACTGGTTCTGTCTTGGAGGTAGAACTAAGAGGATGTGCTTGTGGACTGGAGGAGGGGAAGGAGCCAAGGTTCACCCCACAGTTTTGGCCTGAGCAACTGGAAGGATGAAGTTGCCATTTGTGGAAATGTGAAGCTGCAAGGAAGGGCTGAGTACCTGCTCCAGGCTCCCAACTGGAATTTGGTGGGTCTGCCTGACTCCAGGGCACTTACCTCACTGCCACCTGCCCATGGCTAGAGGCAGAGGCAGACACATAGAGTCAAAAAAAAAAAAAAAAAAAAAAGGAAGGAAATACACCAAGAGTTGTGAGGTTGGGTGATTGTTTTCTTTGTAATTTTCCAAATTTTCTGTAAAGCATTAATATGACTTCAGTTTTTAAAAAGACAAACTTTTAAAATGATACAACCAATACTTCGTTTTTAAAAACAACAAACATTAAGGTCCCCCTTCCGTTCCTGCCCCTGTCTCCCTGGAGGGAGTCACAATTTAGTCTACATTCTGCTGAGTGTTTCTATGAATATACAAACGTATATAAACTTCCATTTTTTTTTATAAAACTACCATCATATTAGTCATATCTTTCTGCAAGTTGCCCTTTTCATTTAAGTCCATTGGGGAATTCTTTCCATGTCAGTATTTCACTTTTAAAACTGCCACATACTCTTCTGTTACAGATGTGGCATGATTTTTAAATAGTTAACCAGTATAGCTTTTTTAGTAAAGAAAAAGTGGACACACACGATTAAATAGATAAAAATAATTCAAAACAGCCTTAAAGGATACAAAACAGGTCAACTTTCCTCCCTTCTCTCCCCAGCTCCAGTTTCCTTCCCTGGAGCTCCTGATGTGACCATTTTGGCTGATAGCATCATATCTTCAAAAAAAAAGTTGATTGCACTGTTAGTAGGTAGTACCTGGTGAGTCTTTACAATAAAACACGTGGGGTTTGGTCAATTTAGGTGACCTCCCACCTGTACCTCCTGATTTTGTTAGATAAATTATTACCCTTAATTCCTCTGGAGCTCCCTGATAACTTTAAACAACATATATATAAACATTTATTTATCACCTTAGGCAGTGTTCTATTGATGACCTTCTATGAAGAACGAGAAAATTAGCTCACTTTCCTTGAGTTCCCCTCCTTCCTCCTCCAACTACCCATTTTTTGTTATTTCACACTGTCAAGGTTTGTAAAAATTTTTTTCTGTCAGGATAATTAAGTATTTCATCCTGCAAACTGAAAGCCGATAAACAGCATTTTAATTGGGTGTTTATGAAAATCTTTCGAGCAGCCATTTCAGATAAGTCTTTCTCCACTTTTTTGTTTCCTTCCCTTCTGCGTCACACACAGCTACTGCTGCTGCGTAGCACCTTAAGTCTTCTTCTTTACTTGGGTGGAGTACCTGTCACAGTTTTTCCCCCGTAGGATCATAAACGGATTCTTGTATGTCTGAAAAGATCTTTCTTTTACATTCACTCTCAGTTTTAACTTGGTCTGGTAAGGGCTTCGTTGTGAAAATAATTCTCCCCAGAAACATTTAAAGCTGTTGTTTCTAGTTCTGTCTTAAGCAGCTGTTGGAGGAGGAGGGGGCTGTAAGGCAGCTGTTGCTGCTTTGCTAATGGCTTTCTTTGTCAAATTACCCTGCTGTTTGCCTGGTCGCCCACTTTGATTTTTTATTTGTAGATTCTGAACTTGCAGCCAGTCTAGGCTTCTCTTGGGAAGGACGACCTTTGACTCAGGGATCTTTTGCTGTGGTTTCTCTCAGGTCTGATTTCTCCATCAACCCAAGTGCACCCGCTATCTTTTGGAATTTTTATTTCAAAAAATACTTCGGTGTACAGTTATTGTGAGTATCTAAATTGGGTTCCCCTCCTAAATAGTTATTTGTTTAGATCACCTTCCCCCCGAACTGATTTGTAATGCCTCCTTTTTATTACATAGGAAGTTATAAGTACAGAGTCTACTTCTGGGCCTCAAGTGTGTTCCATTTGTCTGTCAAGGCCAAGCCATAACTACTCATTTAACTTCTGTGACTTTGTTTTATTACTTAACACAGCTAATCCCCCATCATTATCTTTTTTTTTTTCTCTTCAAAATTAATTAGTTCTAGTCCCCTGTTTTTCTTCCAAGTAGACATTAGATTATTTTTGGAAAATTCCCCTCCCTCGACTTTGGTTGCAGATTTTATTGTAGCTTGATAAAATTGCCAGCCATGTGTGTGAAGGATATATGTTAACATAAAAGAAAGAAAAGCTGGTTGGAGTCTAAATGAAGCCTAAAAATTGGAATCAAAAGCAAGCTGTGCTTATCCAGCCTTGCTGAGAGGGAGGAAACACTGTCTGACAGGTGCAGCCATCCCAATTTCTAGAGTGAGGGCAGTAACGCATGCAGTGCAGCCTCTCC